TACTTTTGTTATAATTATTTTGTTACTTTTATTATGATTATTATATATTTTTGCTACAATTATATGTTAGATATTATTAGTTCTTAAGTTTGTGTTAACACCAGTAACAATAGCAATGACAGCAACGATAGCAATGATGACAATGACATCAATACTCGTATTAACACCAAAAATGCTAATAACACTCGTGTTTAATTAACTTAACAACAACAACAATAGAACCAGTTATATCGTATAATATATAATTTATATAAATATACCATGTATCTTAGCTTAGAATAATAATCAATCAAGTCAGAAAGTGAATCAAGTCGGATAGTTAATCAGTTTCTTGTTTGATAAAAACTTTGGATAACTTGTAAAGTTATATTTGATTGGTTTTTGGTCTTGAAAGATAGATCACTTATAATAAACCATTGTTATTGACTTGAAAGATAGTTGCTTGATAAAACTTATTATTTGTATCATTACCTTTGAGATTCTAAATAATATACAAAACTTAGTGGAGTTATTGAACGTCATTCTAGCTCGTCACAACAAGAACACATGTTATCTACCTTTAGTGATAAATCTTTGTCTCTCTCATTATAAAGACTTAATCTTTTTCGCCCTTATCTTAATAAAACACGTGATTAATACATCAAGAACTTAATATCAATAAAAATGGTAACAATATCTAAAGGAAGTAATTTATCATTATTTAATTTCAGTTAACTTCTTTTAATTGATAGAAAATTTGATTTATTTGCTATCATAATCTAGTACAATATACTAGATTTAGTATGAGTAAATTCAATCTATTAATTAATTTATATTATAATTTAATTGAATATTAGCTAAATAAAATTTTATTTATTAATATTTTTAAATAATAAAATGAATATAATTTTAATAATAAAATTAATATAATAATTATAATAAAATTAGCAAAATAATTATAGCAAAAAAATATTATAACAATTATAACTAAAGTAACAAAATAATTATAGCAAAAATATATAATAATCATAATAAAAGTAACAAAATAATTATAACAAAAGTAGTATAATAATTATAACTAAAATAATATTTATAAAATTATTAAATAATATAAAGATAATATATTTTATCTAATAAATTAAATAGATTTTTAGATTTTAGATTTTTCTATATTAAAATTAAATAATAAATAAGAAGCTTGTAAAATTTATAAAGTTTTCATTTTTTAATAATAAACTTTGATAATAATTTATAAAGTATTTTAAGTTATAGTTTATATTGGTTTTGGTCTTGAAAGATAGATTACTTGTAATAAATTATTTGTTATTAACTTAAAATTATTTAAAGAATTTATTATCTTATATATATTCTTTTGAAATTATAAAATAAATTCATTAAAGTTAGTGAAGTTATTGAATATTATTTTAATAAAAATATATATTATTTATTTTTAGTTATAGTTTTTAATTACTTTTATTATTAAAATTTAGTCTTTTTCATCTTATAGTTAATAAAAATATATAAATAATATATAAATAACTTGAAATTCATAAAAATGATAATATTATTTTTAGTTATAGTTTTTAATTTCTTTCATTATAAACACTTTATTTTTCTTATTTTTTAATTAATAGAAACATGTAAATAATGCACAAATAACATATAAATAGCCAAATTTTTTTATAATTATTACTTTTAGGAAAGCAAAATTTGGTAATTATAAAGAAAATGTGACTATAAAATGATTTTTTACTATATTTATATATAAATAGAAAAGCAAAATAGAATGATTATAAAGAAATGTAACTATAAATAAATGTGACTATAGAGAAATTGACTGTAACTTGAAATTTATAAAAATAATAACAATATATATATTTTTAGACTTATAATTTTTTTATTTAAAAAAATAATAAATATTATGTAATTATCAAAAAAAAATCTCATTTTTCTTTAATTAAAAATAATTAGTCTTTTAAATATAATAAAATTTCATTTGAAAAAGAAAAAGTTCATTTATATTATTTTTTATCTAACTAAAATTACATGAAAAATAATTCCATGATTTTTTAAATTTTTGTGTTACATGTTGCAATTTAATTGGTCATCATCAATCAAAAGTATCACATGATCCGCATATTAGGAATCGTTCTGGCGAATTCCATGGCACAGGCGAACCAATTGGATTTATGTTTATATCTGACATGTTATTGATGTTAATGCTTTAAAGGCATTTATCGGTATTATGAAGGTAAGACATCGATAAATAACATTATTTAACATAACATTGATTATGAGTCTTATGCTTAAATGAAGTATTTAATGTGTTTGTTTTATATGACGCAGATAGAATATTGTTATTTCGAATTCTCGCTCGATTTCCATGAAATAAATAAACACACGCACAAACAAATCACCACACAAAAATTCCATAAAAAATGGAACGATGATTATTTACGTTCCGGCCAGTGATACTCCTGCGCGGGTCTTTTGTAACCAAATCTGGCAACAAAATCATCCACACCACTTGGTCCACGTGATCCGTACGCGTAAGCTTGTGGTTTAATCTTAGCTTGATCAATCTTGTGTAAAATTGGCGTGAAAATATTCCATGCGGCATCCAATTCATCGTCTCTTACGAAATTTGAGTGATCACTTTTTAGAACATCCAAAATTAAAGACTCATACGCTTCTGGAATCTTGAGATCTGAGAATCGACGGTGATAAGTGAGATCGAGTTCTGAAATGACGGTGTCCATTGAAAGCCCGGGGAGTTTATTTATGAATTTCATATAAACAGCTTCATTGGGTTGCACGCGAATAACTAGTTCATTACGTGCCGTATTGTTGAATATATTCCCAGGTACATCCTGAAATTGTATGCGTATTTCAGTTTTTGCTTCGTTTAATGCTATATTGATTTAGAATGAAACATTTAATATAAGAAGACTTGATATGATTAGTAATGATGTATCGTATACACACCTTTACCGCACCTTAGAATGAAAGGAACACCTTCCCAACGTTCATTTTTAATCCAAAGAGTAGCGGCAGCAAAGGTAGGACAATTGCTACCCTTCGGAACAGTTTCATCCTCTAGATAGCCAGGTTTAGATCCATCTTCTGATTTGACATATTGACCAAGTAAAGTGTCATCCAATTTTACCGGTGAGATACAACGAAGAACTCGAACCTATAGTAAATAATAGTATTAACGTATTTACACAAAAATATCGAGTATTTGAACACCAACCTTTTCGTTACGAACATCTTCGGCATTCAAGGTAACAGGCCTTTCCATAGCAACGATGCTCAAAATTTGCAGTAAATCTAGTAATTTATAAAGTTTAATATTAACTAATTTGTTAAAAAACAAGCAAAGTTCTATAGACTTACGATTTTGCATAACATCCCGAATGATACCAAATTCATCGAAATAGCCACCTCGGCCTTCAGTTCCGATAGTTTCTTTGAAGGTTATTTGAATGTTGGCGATAGAATGTCGGTTCCAAATAGAGCCAAAGAAAACATTTGCAAAACGAATAATTAACAGATTCTTGACCATTTCTTTTCCGAGGTAATGATCAATGCGATAAGTCTAAACAGAAGAAATGTTAATGAAGTTAAATACAAGAAACCATGTTAATCGATAAAAAAAATACTTCTTCTTCCGTCCATAATGGAGCCAGTGCTTTTCCCAATTCACGGGAGCTGTCCAAATCCATACCAAAAGGTTTTTCTACGATTAGTCGATTAACACCTTTTGTTGAATAGACATTCTTTTTAAGGCCCTTGGCTACTGACACAAAGACACTTGGAGGCAATGCCATGTAGAATACGCGATTTTTATCGCCAGATGTATCTTTTTCAAATTCCTCAATAATTTTATTCAACCGCTGATATCCCTCATCTTCATCATAAGAACCGGAAACATACGTGCATAGTTCAAGGAATTCAACAAGTTGTCTTTTTATTTCTTCATGCGGGGTTTTGATGAATTGAGAAATTCGTTGACGGAATTGAGATAAATCCATCTTTGTACGCGCATAGCCCACAACATGAGTATCCTTCGAAAGAAACCCGTTACGATAAAGACCAAAAAGAGCTGGAAAAGTCTTCTTTTTTGCAAGGTCACCCGAAGCACCCAATACTGCATGCAGTAAGCGAGCAAAATTCTTTACCTTAACTAATATTAAAAATATGAAGAACGCGACAACTATTAAGGTGTACTTACCAATTATCGTAGTATCACCTGCGAGCAAATTTTTTGTAGCAGACATTGTATAGATAAAAAAATAAAGAAGGGAAATATTTAGAATCTCATTTCGAGCCTGGCAGAGTTAAATTTATATTATCGTTGTTGAAGTTCCCACATAAGATTTGAAACTTGATGATTAATCCATACTGATTAATCAGATTCTAAATGGGGAAAAACTTGAAAGTCAAATTAATTACCATGATGAAATTCATGATTCACATGATTTGGAATCATGGATATCTAATTAATGAAGGAGTCCCGATCTATCGCGAACAATGTGTATCATAGAGAATGTATACCAATGTATCTCAATCCTTCGTCACTCTTCCATGATTGAGTGATTCAGGGAGAATCACGAAAGAACTAACGAATATCTATAGATTATCATATATAGAGAGGAAATTAACGGGAATCGATCAGTGATACAACGGAAGGAACTCACCTGATCGTAGATCTCCAGTAACCAATAAACCTCTTGTAACAAGAGGAAGCTTGTAATTCCTTCGATTATGGAGGAACCGGAGAAATCTTTTTCTGTTATAGTTGGAGGGCGCGAATTCATACTTTACGAGTCTAGGTACGAATCTACCTATGCAAAATTTAAAGCCTGAATATTATTACTTGGAATTTGCTCTAAAATTAAATTCTTTTATTTGGATAAGTATTCGTCATGATGTTCCAAATTATTTCACTGCAGCATTTCTCGGCCTATTCAAAGAGTCTTGTACGCGACAAATTATAATAGACCGTAACCCAATTCTTTTCGAATATATTCATGAATATTTGAAAGGATATGATATATTTTCGTTACCAATATTCCCAAATCACGATAACAATAACAATAACAATAACAAAAATAATGCTTCAGTAATGACAACAAGATCTTTATTTGATGAATGTCACGAAAATTTACTAAGAGATGCACAATTTTATGGATTAACAGGATTAATAAAAGAAATAGAAGAACGATACCGACCTAATCGCTTCACCTCTCGACACACTTATGTTAATCCTTTCTTAATGCACAAAAAGCATTTGGCATATAATCTTCGGGATCTTGACGTCGAGAAATTATCTGTTGATGAATTGGGATATCTCGTATGGCAAGACCAGACTGACGCTAAAAAATATTTACTTCATATTCATGCGCAAGATTGTATTCTTTCGCTCGGCTTGCATCGTTCAGACGAGTCGGTTAAAGTATCGTTAGAGTTTCACGATTCACGTGATATTAAAGTAATACAAGAACTTACAGAACATTTTGGTGCGCAATTGATAAAGTCTGAAAATATCGCAGAAGAGAAAATTAAAATTGGCGGGACACTTAAGGGAAAATCGGACATTTCAGATGTATTTCTTAATATTGATGATATCAATTGTACACTATGGGAATTACTTCATTTTCGTGACTATTTATCTGATATAAATGTAACTGGTCCGAAACGACAGCGAATGCTAGAGTTAGATAATATTATTTATAATGATTGGGTGTTTGGCGATACAATTTATGGGAGATTTTATGTGGTTGATATAGATTTCACTTTACCGCCTCTTTATATGCATCGTGCAAAATTATTAAGCGAACAAAGATGGGCAAGAAATTTACCTTTTGTACAATCTTCTTAATATTTCTCGGAAATCATAAACGGTTTGTCGGTTATCGGTGAATGCGACATGATGCCAGAATGAACAGCAAAACTTGTACAACCTCGAATTTACTTTTTTTATCCCTTTATAGTAAGATGCTAGATCCATCGTTAGAGCAACTTTGTGTAATCATAAAGTACAATAAAAAACAGACATAATGTGCTGTTGTATTTGTCAATTATAAAATATGAATGAAAGAGTGAAATTCAGAACACGTGCATCAAACTGCTTTAAAATTTTGACTACTACTATCTCTTGTGAAAATGATAAACATGACAAGGATTTCTCAAGTGATGCTGCAGACGCTCAGATTCCTATTAGTGCCTCGAATCTTGGTGAAAATGATACTGAAGTTACTGTAACTGATTTAGCTACTGAAGACTTGGAACAACAATGCATCTTGTTACCTACGTATGCTTTTCGAGACCAAAGTTCAGGTAGAAGAGAATCAAAAAATCGGAGTTCTAAAAATATTCAAAAAAATAATGTAAATAAATCATCAAAAATTAAAATAATCTATCAATTATAGCCAATCCTAATGAATGGACAGTACGCGTACGAGGTTGGGCGTACGCGACACGAAAGAAAAGTCGCAAAAGAAAATTAATGATTGGTACATCATTTATCTAAAGGACATTCTATTTTCATAGAATTAAATTTTAATATTCATATTTTAAAATAGGGGTTGCGCGACGTATAATGGTCAAAGATGAACAAGAAGGCAAATATTTAGAAGATCGATTTGGAATGTTTCTAACTAAAAATGTTCGTAATCAAAAGTATGCAGTAAAAATAATCGGACTTGCTCATCCCTCACATATGAAATTGGGGGGTGATCCGGATTCAGACGATAAATCAGATAGTGGAAGTAATGTCGAGACAGATGACGAAACATTATTAGAAACTGAATCTGAAAGTAGTAGCTATGAAGAAGAAGATGATAGGATCGATTCAGGGAAAAATCATAATCCAGTAACTCATGTGACAGCTGATACAGGACATTTTGAGGGTAAACTCACTATTTCTGATGAACTTGTGGATGAATGGATATCAAATGCCAATGAGGAATATGATGGTTTTGGGAATCATATGCGATTATTCAAATTAGAGGCGAAACGTAGTGGAAGTAGACATGGTATGTTTGATTGAAATATTTACTTAGTAAATATTATTCCATGATAGAAAATAACGCACGTTTTTTTTTTATAAGCCACGCCAATTTTAGGTTATGCAGATTTAATTGATGCAGAAGGAATATCAATAATATCGGTGAGTTTGATGTTTGAGAGTGGTTAATTAATTTTATTTATATATCAATTTTTAATTTTATTTAGGATATTGATGATACGATCAAAGAAACAGACGTGACTGGCGGAGCAAAGGCGATGCTTGTGAATACATTTTTAAAAGACGCTTCAGAGGTAAGTCCACTTGCTTATATGAATAATTGCAGATTAAAAAGCGAATAAGTATCAAACTTTTTTTCGTCACACAGGTTCCTGGTATGGCGCAACGTTATTTGTCATGGGTAAGAATCATAAGAAATTATATTATTTGATTTTGAATAAATGAATAAATGAATAGATTTTTTCAAATAGTATCAACAAGGAGCATCCATTCACTATGTTTCCAACTCACCCTGGCAATTATTTCCGATGCTCAAATCATTTTTCAATGTAAAGTCTTTTCCTCCTGGATCAGCTCATTTGAAATTATACAATATGAAAAATATAACAGAAAATACTGGGGAAAATAAAAAGATAGCAATTCGCCAAATTTTGCAGGTTTGATTTCCGATAATTTATGACTTTAATTATAAGGAGTTTGTTTTTCGTGAACTTTTGTTTATTAATACTTGGTGACGACATTATAATTAGGATTTTCCCCGAAGAAAATTTATTCTTATTGGTGATAGCGGTGAAATAGATATGGAGATGTGAGTGATATTATTGTTTTTCGTTTATTGAAAATTCAATATGTTGACGATTTTATGATTTTCATTTTTGTAAACAAAAGCTACGCTTCGATCGTTAAAGAATTCAGCTCTAAAACAGAAATTATACACGTTCTTATTCGAGATGTCACCACTAAACGTCTAGAAAACCAACCGGCGAAACGTACACGTTCTTTACCGTTCATCCCTAAAAGAACATCATCGGCAAATTCGTTCCGTACCTCAAAAACTATGCCCAATTTACAAATGTCTTCATTGGAAAATAATGAGGATTATGAGCAAATGGTGTCCCCTGATTCTGAAGCTTCATCACAAGTGTCAACTCCTTCAACTGCGGAATGCGAATTTCAAACACCATTAGAAATATTTCAAGAACGAGTGCAACGGATTCAAGAGTCCATTGAAGCTGAAGGAACCGAGTTTACTTTGTTTACGGAAGGAAAAGAATTATTAGGTCATGCAAAGATTGACCTAGCATTCGAAGAATTAGAAAAAAATCGTTATAAATATTAATATAAATTGTAATTTGTATCATCACCATCATCATCATCACTTAAATAGAGAATATTAATTTATTGATTAATTACACTGGATATTGGTTTGTTAACAGAATTAGATGAATATCAACTAGAGCAAATTTATTAAAACAATATTATAATCTGAAATTATATAATCAATATCGAAAATGATTTACCTCTTATATACTCACTCGGATTTCCATTAGTCTTTTCGCCACCAACCCCTAGACCACAAGTTTAACATTACAAGCAGGAAAATCTTTAACTCTGCCCTTATTCCTGATGCATCATTGTCCAAAAGTGAATCTTTTGGATGGAACGCGCGAAAGTTCAGGACACCATAGACGTATATATAACGAGGGAAGTTTCTTGCACGGTGATTTATATAAAGTTTATGGTCATTGAATCAATAGTTCGAACCTAACCCAATATATTGATTCAATTTCACTCCTGGCAACTTTTTCACATTGTCGTGGTGAGACATCCAATGGCAAGAAAAGGCGGGAATAATCAATACCAAGATTAGTTTATATGTAGAAACTAGAACCAGCATGGCCTTTGACTGATGACTAAGGTGAAAGATAATGTGAAAGGTCACCTATAAAAAAATCATTTAGGATTGAAATTAAATTAGGAGAAAGAGCGAGCACTGTAATATGGCCGAACGAATTTTTCATTTAGTCCCTCGACATGTTTTCGAAATTGTGCGTAAACATTAGGTGTATAATCGATTTTGAAGAAAAAAAATCTATTTTTCGCCTTTTGTGCAATTACACTTGACGCGGTCGAAACAATAAATATGTAGTATATGTATGCTGTACATGTAACAAGACATAAGGTTTATCGCGAACGCGCGTCATTTCAAAAAATACAAATAATCGTGTTTTATCGAATTCGACGTTAAATGTAGCCAAATCAAAATTTAGAGATCGATCGTGAAAAAATATCTGAACCTTTGATCTTTACATATCGATATAACGATAATGTATATCTAAATGGCATTCATAAAATCTGAACTTGGCTGTCTTCGACATTTAATAAACTCTACATTAATAAACTTTAGGCGTTACAATGCTCAACGCTCTCTTAATACTGTATCAGTCGAATCTACAAAAACTCAAAATGTCACTTCCCAACCAGCTATTCTCATGGAATCAAAAATATCGTCTCTTACAATTGACGCGGACAAAGAAGCTTTTATTAAAAATATAGCTCTTTTACAGAAACCACGTACAATCTCGTACTTTACTGGTTCACCATTTTATAATGATCTTATAATTCAATTAGATGAATTAATGGAAAAGTACAATGACCATCCAAAAGTAATACGTGACAAAAAAAATACTAAAACTACTTTATGGAAATTGAGACAAACTCTTGAGATAGAACTTGATATCACGTTAAAGACTAGCGAATATCGAAAAATAGTGGATCGATTGAACGCATTGGATCTTTTAATACCAAAAACTGCACCAAACATACGTGAATTTTTAAAATTGTTTCAGCGGGATCCCAACGCTCCGAGTGCAATTCACAACGAGAATAAAGATCAAAAAACAAAGGTCATTAATAATGATAATGCAAATCCGGGTGAAAATACAGCAGTTAACGGAACCAAAAAAAATAAGCTGGTTCTTGATCATTATGGACGATCTTTTGCTATCGGTAAAAGAAAAAATGCATCGGCACAGGTTTCGTTAATTAAAGGTGATGGAAAAGTGTTGATCAATGGAAAGACTTTGGCCAATTATTTTTCAGCATTGAAAGATCGTGAAGCTGTTTTATACCCGTTTGAGGTTACTTCTTGTATCGGAGATTATAATGTTTGGGTTATTGTAAAAGGCGGAGGTCCGACAGGTAGTATTAATTTTTTTTTATTTTTTCACTATACATATTTGATTAATTTTATTGCTAAAAATAAAAAACTAAACAGGACAAGCTGATGCGATTGCCCATGGTATCGCAAAATGTCTAATGATTCACAATCCAGAACTTAAACCAATATTACGAAGAGGTTTGTTTGCCTTTACTAAGAAACTAGCCTTCTTATGATGATCGTATTTATATGTTTCTTTTTTGATTTAGCAAAACTAGTTGCACGAGATCCTCGAAAAGTGGAGCGCAAGAAACCAGGTCGAGCTAAAGCCAGAAAGAGATATACTTGGTGAGATTTACAAGATTATTGTAATTTTTGAAATTGCTTTTGAGATCTCGGCTAAATCTTATTTTTTTCTCAAATCTTAAAGGGTCAAGCGATAAAACGTCTTATTGGCATTGTATTTGCCATGGTCATTTTTGTTGTTGTAAATAAAGGGAAGCGAGAATTCTAGGCTGTTTATCCAAGTTTTGCAAGAGATTAGACAAAATTACATGTGGCTCAATCTGATCTATTGGGAATTATCCAAAGAATGGCTGATGAAAGGTTTGATTTCATTTCCAAATCATAATTTAAATACTAAGGATTTGGTTATTTTCAGGTTGGTTTATTTTTAAGAATTTAAGCAAAATGAATTTTGCGAGGAATCGGAAAAGCTTAAGCTTCGAACATATGTGACACCTTATCAAAGCTCAACTCAATAAACTAAATTTCTGAAGAATCACCTACCTTTCAATGCAAATATTTTCGGATGTAAATTTGTCTTACCTCAAGAATGTTTGATGCCACTTTCAGGATGAACCAAAAATTATGTGTGATATTTTCGTCAACAAAAATCACAAAGTGAAGGACACCAACAACTTTTAGTGTCATACAAGTCGTGAAATGGTAGTGGTACCCTTCGGATTGCAGCCAGATTTTTGAGTTCGAGTTATAAGGCCTTAAAGTTTTATATAAAGTTATATAACAATAAATCTGGGCAAAATCAATAATTAAGATATTGTTTGGCCCAAACTATGAAATTATGTTTAAAGTTCTATTGGCTGCAATAATTACGTCATAAGTCATAAGAACTCTAATTGGTTAGATTGATTATTACGTCATAAAATCTTCAGTCTCAAAATTTACCACGTGGCGTCCCCTGCTGGAAATCTTCGAAAAAATTCAAAAAGCGACATTCTTATCCTTCGTCGTTTTATTTATAAATTTAAACCTATCATTAATGAATTTGTTGATGCGCAAACATATCTTTGCGAAGAGGAGGCAAAGACGATTTATTTATCCAATATAATCCACACGCATTGCAGAGAGTCTGAAAATTTCAATATTTTTGGAATAAGATAATCGCAGATAAAAATTCTCAAATTCATCAAAGCTCATGCATACCTTTGTACCATCAGGCCCTCGTCTTACCAGCGGAGTATCACGACCATTAATTTGACAATGTTCGCAATGCCATTTTTCCAATTGCTCTGGTGCCAATCTTTGACCTCTTTCTCTGACGCGTTCTTGTTTCAGTGGTTTGGTAAGTTGCATAGTTTTTTGACGTTTTAGTGGGGAAGAACCAGGTGACAATATACTCGTATTAGAATTACGCGGTAATTGACGTGATCGCGAATTTCCAAAACGAGAAGTTTCTCGTCGAAGCCGTCTAAATTGACGTATAATCAGAAAATTTTCGTATAGATAACAGATAAAAAAGTGTGAAATTATTTCAAACCTAATACTTCTCTCTTTATCTAATACAATTTTTTCTAGTTCCTCGGTAGTTAAAGTTTCCAGTATCGGTGCCCACTCTTCCGCTTCATCAAAAGGTCTGAATGCAGACTTTAGCGGTTCACTCTCTGGATCAAAATCATCTAATTTCTCTTTATGTTGTAAAAGTTGTTCATGTATATTAAAAGCAATTATCGGTGCAAATTCACCGCCAACCCCAAGATCAGCGGTTAATAAGCGACTAAATTCTTCGGGTGTCAACTCTGAACTTAGATCCCATTCAAAACGATCTCGAAGGTTTAATTTCCCAACCTGTATATCTAACTGCAAACAGTATTATTAGCAAAATTCGAATTAACGGGATATCAGGTCAAAGCACATACAGTTATTTCCACACGATAATCTACTCGCGACAGAGATTTCTCGGCAGCTGATTCATATTCTGTTACTTGAGATTTAATAGCCTCTGCGATCAATGGCGTATACGTTTCAACTGGAATTTCGAGATCGTTACATAATATCTCGGCGAAACTTTCAGGTGTGATAATTTTTTCTGATAATTAAAATTCATATTAATTCCAAGTTCATCACTGGGAAAAAGTAATTTGATAAATTTTACCATTCAAATTCCAAGTAAACGTATCACGTAATTTATGATTCTCAAAATCAAAATCAAGTCTAATAGGAATAAGAATTTCTTTTTGTTCCGCCATTCGTTCCATCTCTTTATTAGATCTATAGATATAAAAAATATCCATAGTATTGATAAACAAACAAACTTTAGTATTTTCTTATCGGATAGTGACTTTCATTCATCATATTATACTCACTTATAAACATGCTTTGTTTTTCGCATCATTCTTTTGGTGACTGGTTTCTCGCTGACTCCTTCACGCATTGTATAAGGACGCCCCATGCTACTTTTGTCAACAGGTGTCATATTTCTTTTGTTATACTCCTCACCACCCCAAAATTCTGCTTCGTCTGATAACGCATCCTCAGCGTAATTGACGTTTGCTCCTGCACCACGAGTGCGCCGTTTATTATTTGTAGATAAGAGAAGTGATGTGTTTCCTTCTTTTTCTTTTAGGCGACTGGAGTATGTGCTCCATATGGCTTGGGCAGTAAGTGGAGGGAGTGATGTATTGGCAAAAGCTAAACAATTGATAATATATTGTATTTAAAATGCAAACTTTCTGTAATGTGAATAAGCATATGGCCTGTACCTTGACGTGTTGAGCGCCTCGAAGTTGGAGTGTAATGCTCTTGATATATATTTGAATAATTATTCATGCCATTATTTGACATTGGCATAAAAGTAAAGTTTGAATTGCCGTAAGGCGGCATGTGCATTTGCATTTGCGTATGATACATTTCAGTTGAAGGAAGAATAGTTCAGGATACTGGTGGCTTGTGCTATTAAGATATTAGTACATGGCAATGTCCAGTTATTATGTCATCAAAATTGTCCAATAAAAATAAACCAATGGTAGTTTTTTTTAATGACCGCTCACTTTTATCCCACACTAAATTGTTTTGTTGGCTCTGTATATAACTTTGAAATGTTCGCATTTAGTAAATGATTCTTACAAAGAAATAAACTATTGATATAGGAGAAACTGATAATGGCGATATGATACTGTCAGAATATTCACTGTGGTGCAGTCAAACTCCAAGTACCCAGCCATGGCGAAAGAAAAGCTACGGGTCATGTAACAAAGGTTTATTGTTAAAGATTAGGGTTAGGGTTAGACCTGCGATCAAGATTATATATAAAATTGTCTTCCCAACATTTTTGATTAGTGTACCAAGCTATGGTGCAGGACATCTAGTCGCATTCCAAAAAACAGTAAATTTTTAAACTGTAATAACTAAAACAATACTATTATATTTTTAATAACTAAAGTATATTTGAAAAAAATTCATTTTTTACAAAGTTATCTTGATTCAAAGTTTCAGAACATTACACACAATTTTCGGAAAGTTATCCGGGGTCAGTTACTTATGCTGGGGACACCTTTTTATAAATTGATGAGCTTCTATATCGGATATTGTATGTTCATAACTTTCATACTCCAAATACAATAAATCAGTCACTTTAGGACATAATATCTTAACGTCCAGTTATCCGATTTGAACGAAAATATTACAATTCGATTTATCTAATCTAGACAAGTCAAATAGTGGTATTTTCGCTCAAATTGGATCACTGGATATAATATTACATTCTAAAGTGACCGATTCATATTCGTCGAGCAATTTTTCATTAGAAATTGATTGCCAAAAAAATGAATCGGTCGTGATATCACGATCACTGGAGATCGAGATATCACGTCCTAAATTGGTTGATTCATTTTTGTTAATATCAAAAAAATGAATCTGCTACTTTAGGATGCAATATTTTGACACCCAGTGATCCGATTTGAACAAAAATAGTACTGTTCGATTTGCCTCGACTAGACGAATCGAATAATATATTTTTGTTCAAGTCGGATCATTGGATGTCAAGAATTAGATATTGGATATTGAGATGTGTGTTATGAAATGACCGATTATATTTGGGATGCGAAAGTTTATGAAATATAAAAGCTCTATCAGTCTATAAAAAGATATCAATGATCAGCATTTGTAATGTTCTTTATGCTCAGAAAATTTCAGAACATTACACATAATTTTCGGAAAGTTATTCGGGGTCAGTTACTTATGCTGGGGACTGTATTAATAATTTTCTCACTTCACGTGAATATCATGTGACATTGCAATAATTTCATCATCTTCAAGAATATTTTCAGGAATTCTTCGATGAGAACGATGTTTTCGAACTGATAAATCCAATTTGTAAGCGCTCATGCATCGATAAGTGCGACGTGCATATCTTCGAATTTGAAGTAAAAAAACTGAATCAAGAGCAGCTGGAATTGTCTTTTTCAATGCCTCAAACTATAGTCACAATGTTGGCGAGCCCCCCATTTCCTTATAAACTACGAGATTTCCCAGACCGATGATTATAAGATTGAAGATAGTGCTAATAAATGTACTCTTGTTGAAGGAAAGGAGAAACTGACAATCTGACGCATAAGATATCAGCCATTCGCATGCCTATGGAGCTTGAAGTGTCGATAGCTACGTGGGTTAAAAAAATTCACACTTTGGATAATTATGCAACCTTCAAGATCTTTGAATCAACTTTTCACACTTTGGATAATTATGCAACCTTCAAGATCTTTGAATCAACTTCCTTGCGGCTAAAGTACAAAGGCATCCTTGTGCTTCCGTCTGTAGTTTATGAAAGCGATTATACCTCATACGCCTAGACTCTTTTCTGCCGTTTCCTGTAGTTGTACTTGTAACAACAAATTCATTTCAAATAGAGAACATTAAATTCATATCACATGATCTATCACTTTATTAGTCATCTGGAATGTGTGCCAGGTTCGTGCCGCAGTCCAATAAGAATGCGATTTACTGGTGGCACAGACCAATAAGGATGTGCGAATTTTTGGAGTACTAATAAAAAATGTCGGTGAGGCAATTTTATATATAACCTTGACCTCCACTCTAACCCTAACTATATATCAACTTTTGGGTAATTTTATTGCTGCGGCACGAACCTGGCACACATTCCAGATGTGCCAGGCAGAATTTCAGTGCTGTGGTTCGGTAAGGATGTGAAGATGTCCTGCACCCGTATTTTTTACATTTTTCTCTTTTTTCATTTCTTGTGTCGGATTTGTTTTGCCGGGCTGATCAATATGTAAAATTTGTTCTTGACAATCTCCAATATTTTAATAAATAAATAAAAATTATGAATTTAAAAATACATGTGTTATATACGTATAACACTTATTATTTATTATAAATTACATTCAAATAAAATTGTTTCTTTAATTATCAATTATCACTATTTGCTTTATGATAAATAAGATATTAAAGTTTTCATTTAAGAAATGTTTTTATTTTTGTATTAAATTATGGTTTTCCAGATAACTTTTTCAGGGTGGTGTATTTGTTCAAAATTTTGCTATCGTTATGACATCCTATCTCTACCAGGTAACGAAATTTCAAAACTTGATTTTGACCAGAATTATCTTTAATTCTGTAATGCTGACCATAAAATCATATGATTTTACAATTGTAAATGTGCTGGAATAAAAGTTCCGCATCAATATCAAAATTGAATCTTTTATCTGATTATGTACCTCTTGTACACAAAAGTGTTGCCGAATAAAGAAAATAAAAAACAAATAGCGCGTGTATGGCTATTGTGGTTATCCCAGTGATTGATTGATTCAACGATTCCTATAAAATCACACAAACAACAACGAAAAATTTCCAAGGTTCTTCAGCTTACTTTCCCTAACTTAAATGAGTCATAATCAACCCATAAAAAACTAATACAATTATACAAAAATCAGAAAATAATAAGTGTTATACGTATATAATACATATGTATTTTTAAATTCATAATTTAAAATGTATTGGAGATTTCAAAAACAATTGTTCAAAATTTTACTATCGCTATGACATCCTATCTCTACCAGGTAACGAAATTTCAAACTTGATTTGACCAGAATTATCTTTAATCCTGTAATGCTGGCCAGACAATCATATGATTTTACAATTGTAAATGTGCTGGAATAAAAGAAAGTTGCGCATCAATATCAAAATTGAATCTTTTATCTGATTATGTACAGGGCCGTACCCCTTGATACACAAAAATGCCAAATAAAGAAAATAAAAACATAATTGGGTGTTGCAAAAAAACAAAATAGCGCGTGTATGGCTATTGTGCGTTATCACACTTTTGATTGGTTATTCCAGTGATTGATTGATTCAACGATTCTTATAAAATCACACAAACGACAACGAAAAATTTCCAAGGTTCTTCAGCTTACTTTCCCTAACTTAAGTGAGCCATAACCAACCCCATAAAAAACTAATACAATTATACTAATTACAAATTCGTAAATTCAAAATCTCGCTTCCTCTTCTCCCAATCAACACATTTTCAATACAACAAACTACTACAACAATTATTATTATTAAACATGCGTGAGTGTATTTCTATCCACGTTGGTCAAGCTGGTGTTCAAATCGGTAACGCCTGCTGGGAACTTTATTGCCTTGAACACGGTATTCAAGTATGTATCATTATTATTTATTATTTTATATGGTAGAGCAAAGCAAAAATGTAAAATACGAGATGCGGAGTTTTTCAAGTATATTTTCACTCTTGCTGCGCCACTAAACAAAGAACCGTCATCTGAGCAAATTCCTTGTTTTATTTTCTAAAAAAAAAAAAGAGGCTGTTAAACAACAATATGAACAAAGAACTACAAATTCAAAAAAATATTTTTTTCCATTTAATTAACTTTCTAGCCTGATGGCCAAATGCCACCTGATAAAGTAGTTGGTGGAGGTGATGACTCGTTCAACACTTTCTTCTCCGAAACCGGTGCCGGCAAACACGTTCCTCGTACAGTGTTCGTTGATTTGGAACCGACCGTTGTAGATGAAGTTCGTACTGGTACCTACCGTCAACTCTTCCATCCTGAGCAATTGATTACTGGCAAGGAAGACGCTGCCAACAACTACGCTCGTGGTCACTACACCATCGGCAAAGAAATAGTTGATCTTGTCCTTGATCGTATTCGCAAGCTCGCTGATAACTGTACCGGCCTCCAAGGTTTCTTGGTGTTCCATTCGTTTGGTGGTGGAACTGGTTCTGGTTTTGGCGCCTTGCTTTTGGAACGTCTTTCTGTCGACTATGGAAAAAAATCAAAATTGGAATTCTCCGTATATCCCGCTCCTCAAGTCTCAACCGCAGTTGTCGAACCATACAATTCTATCTTGACTACTCATACTACCTTGGAACATTCTGACTGTGCTTTCATGGTTGATAATGAGGCCATCTATGACATCTGCCGTCGTAATCTTGATATTGAGCGTCCCACATACACTAATTTGAATCGATTGATTGCTCAAGTGGTTTCTTCAATCACAGCTTCTCTACGTTTCGACGGTTCGCTCAACGTTGATTTGACAGAATTCCAGACCAACTTGGTTCCCTATCCTCGTATTCACTTCCCCTTGGTTACCTATGCTCCAGTTATTTCCTCCGAAAAGGCTTACCACGAGCAACTTACTGTTGCTGAAATCACATATTCGTGCTTCGAACCAAACAACCAAATGGTTAAATGCGACCCACGCCATGGAAAATACATGGCCTGCTGTCTCTTATACCGTGGTGATGTTGTTCCTAAAGACGTGAATGCTGCTATCGCTACCATCAAAACTAAACGCACCATTCAATTTGTCGATTGGTGTCCAACCGGATTCAAGGTCGGTATCAATTATCAACCACCGACCGTTGTTCCTGGTGGTGATCTCGCCAAAGTACAACGTGCCGTATGCATGTTGTCCAACACTACTGCTATTGCCGAGGCCTGGGCTCGTTTGGATCATAAATTCGATTTGATGTATGCTAAACGTGCTTTCGTACACTGGTATGTCGGTGAAGGTATGGAAGAAGGTGAATTCTCTGAAGCACGTGAGGATTTGGCCGCCTTGGAGAAGGATTACGAGGAAGTCGGAACCGATTCCCTTGAGGGTGAAGAAGAGGAAGCTGAAGAATATTAAGTTCGATAGGAAATTGGAAAATAATTGCCCATAGAAATCTATATTCAATTAAGATCTATTATATCATCATTTATATAGGATACTCTAAAGATTTTCTATTTACAGCAATGAAATTTTCTTTCGGTATGAAAATATTTTGACAAATGTGACAAATTTTATTCAATTATTTGTGTTTAATTTTTACTCAACTTTGCTAAGACTTTGTCAATAAACAATTGAGTATGACCAATTATGGCAACTACATCTGATTTTATAATAAGTTACTGTGCTTGAAATACAATAACGTGATATTTGATGCTGCATTATTTGAAATAATATTCAACAGTGGAATATAAAAAAATCAATTAAAAGAAATGGGTTATGCGACACTTGACACAGCATTATCTTTCTCTAGCGATGACGAATATGATAACATAAAAAATATTCCTCCTTCAGGCTCATCAATTTTGATTAAAGATACAATCGGAGCCGAAGGCGGATTTTTAATTCATCACTTTTTGGTTAATCAACTGAAAGCGGAAAAACATGCGGTGTTGGTTAGTTTAGCGCAAACTATGCAACATTATGCTACTATTGGACGAAAGCTGGTAAATTAAGGAAGAAAGGGAAAATTCTTCGTGCTTATTCAATAACTAGCAGATGTATAGAATAATTGAATCTTTGGAATCAATTTTTAGGGTATAAATCTTCAAATAGCCCAGCAGAAAGGCACATTTTCATATATCGATGGATTGACTCATTTATATACAACCGCACCATCATCTTCTAATGATTCAACAATAAACCCACCGTCTACTATTTCGACTAATTTAAGACAACAATCACTAATTTCAGATGCTTTTCTAACAAACTGTGATTCTTCCTCCTCTCTATCGTCTCCATCACTTTCACATATCTATTCAACAATAAAATCCGTGATTACCACGCGTCATAATATTCCAGGTTCCCGACTGGCATTGATCATTGATGATTTGTCAGCGTTACTATATGCTGGATGTAATGTATGCAACTTGATAGAGTTTTTTAAAGCTTGTCGGTTGCTATGTCAGAAGGTGATTTATTCTTGTTTTTTTGTGAGATTAATAATTAGAAAATATTAATAAATTTGGTCATTTGATTATTAGCAAAAAGGATCACTGATAACTCTAATTCACGCTGACGAAGCAATGGATGCGATAATTTCCTCAGCAGACGAAGAAAATGCCCGACAAGAGGACCTGTTTATCAAGTCACTTCAATATCAATCTGAATATATTCTTGCAGTGCGGGGTTTAGGATCTGGATTTTCAAGGGATGTTTCAGGGGAGGTAATAAGAGCGATTCTTCATTATGAATATCGGAGTTAATTAATATGCTCACATCTTTTTTATAGATTACATTGGCAAGAGGGCCACAAAATTATGATCTCGAGTACAGGCCGACCACATTACAATACAAAATTCTCGATAATAATGTTCAATTTTTTGCAAGAGGGTTTTCTCAGGGTGTTTTATGATTGTTTTACAAGTATTTTACATAAATTTTGTCTGGGAGACAAATATAAGAAAGATTTTTTTTGATTTATCTTGAAAAATATACATTATTAATGGCATTGTAAATAAGCATCAACTTAAGTTTTAGCTTTTTTTTTAATATCCTGTATCGGTTCCTCTCGCGGACGCTTCTTTGGCTGTGTCTTTCAAATTATTAAAAGATATGTATTTCTTAATAGGTTTAAAAAGATGAAATCTCGTGTAATAATTTATTTATTTATATGTATATATATATACCTTGTTGGATGCTTGGATCGTGTTATTGGTGGGATTAGTGTTTGTAAGTGGAGTCGTAGTGCGTTGTTGATTGATGGCTTGAAGTTTCGCAGCATGGTTGGATAGAACTATGTTTTTGCGTATAGATCTGATTTCATCCGAGGCAAATCCAGGGATTCTGATATTGAAATTTCGATCTGTGACGAGGTTTAATAGAATGAGTTGATCAACAGAAAACAATAAAAATTAATGACAATAAAAAGTAAATTCTACCAAGATATAGTTGCACATCTTTGACTTCCAGTTGCTTAGAGCGCCTATGTGTCGCGTACAGAGCTCCGCCTTCAGCTACTGATTCAATAAACTCGTCTGCGATCTCTAGTAAAAGCTGGTGTAATAAAATACATACCATTACCATCAATCAATTATTCAACATGTATTCACCAAAAAAAATAATAATAAATAAATAAATACCTTTTCAACATCCGGATGGACTCTTTCATTTGGATCAATCTCTGCAACTAAATCCTGAATCTTTCGACTTGTTACAAGTTCATCACTAACATCCAAGTTAGAAGACAGAGGAATCGTAGAATGAGCAGAAAGAGGAACATTTGCGGTTACAGTTGATGTGGGAGTGGAAGATAATACTAATGATGATGATGTGGTAAGCGGTGGAGCACTTGCTATTGGTTGTTGTTGCGGTTTTGGCTGAACAATTGGTTTTTGCAAAATTTCCGTAGTTTTTGGCGTTATAATTGGAGTTGCAACACTTAATGAAGATTGAGGTTGTAAATTCTGAGCTGCGGATTTTATTGGAGTTACTAATGTATACCCAGGAGCTATAGATTTAGATGGTAATTGAGAAGTTAAATTGTGTGAAGCTTCTTGATCTTGTTGTATTGGTTGTTGAGGTTGCTTTTGTTGTTGTGCCTGTTGAATTTGTTGCTGCTGAATTTGTTGCTGCTGAATTTGTTGCTGCAATTGTTGTCGTTGATACTGTTGTAAATTTTGTTGTTGCTGTATCTGTTGTATTTCTCGAAACAATTTTGTTTGTTTCTCCAATTCAGCTTCCAAATTTGCTCTTTCATTAGATGGCAAATCAGTTGCTTGTAACATCTGTTGAATATTTCGAATTTGATCTGACAATTCAGTCTGTTGAGCAGTTTGAGGACTAGGTGTCATTTGTGGCTGCTGCTGTTGTTGTTGCTGTTGTTGTAGTAACACACGTTGTTGTTGTTGCATCTGTGGATATTGATGTCTGGCAACCTGCGTCATTGGTGATTGCATTGCAAGTCCATATGGAGAACGAGATTGTTGATGTTGCTGTTGCAAATGCTGGTATGCTTGTGATTGCAATTGTTGTTGAGGAAGATATTGTGAAATAGTGGGTTGACTACCAGGAGTAAATTGTGGTAGCAAACCTGACTGTTGTTGCAACTGCATTTGCTGCTGCTGCTGCTGCTGTTGTTGTATTTGTGGATGTTGTAATCGTTGCTGTTGTTGCAATTGCATTGACTGTTGAGTCATTTGCTGCGGCATTATTTGTGTTGCACCCACAACTCCACCTCCACTTGCACCCCCAACACCATTTCCACCACGTCCTCGCCCTCTTGCAACCTTCTTTCCTCGCATGTTTGGACTAGAAGCGACAGAGACTCCTTGTCCTCCTCTCACCTGACCTTGAGGTTGCGACTGTAATGAGATATCTTGTTGTGGTTGTCCTTGTGATGAAGATATATGACCACCACCTGGTAACGCCAAATTATTTGGATTCATTGAAGGTGTTTGTTGTGACTGCTGTTGTTGCGACATTTTGAATTCACAGCGTGTCAAAGTGTAAATAATAATGATGAAAATTTCCTAGAATCTAAAAAATGTTATATGCATGTCGATAATGTAACCATTGTTTTTGGAATAAGCTGCGTCACCTGATTTAACGCTATTGAAATTTAGGTCGATATGTATATTTATCGTTATCGTTATATTTATTTACAATTAGTTTTCTTTGATTACTTTACCTGTTGATTCGATGATCAATTAAAAAATAAAATCCCAAATTAATTATAAAAAATAACTATCACTTTCGATCCTCCCATGTTTCCCAAATAACCTATCACCAAGCTTTGAGCATGCTTTCCACCCTTCGTAAGAAATCATCGGCGAGTGCAACAGAGATCTGTTGTTGTGGCTGCATCGTTGCAACGTCTGAATCAATAGACATAAAAGAGGAATCAAGTGCCATAGAATCAAAGTTAATTTCATCGATCAAATGAGGATTTTTAAGATCTTCACCTCCTTCCTCAGTTGATGATGATAATGGGTCGTCCTCGTCAATTTTTGCTGTAAATTCTGAATTAGGTACTGGTAATGATGGTTCGAAAGGCTGATTTGGTAAGTGAAGGTTGCCGGTTGTTTGCTGTTGTTTCTTGCCAGGATAAAGCCAAGGCATACGTCGACCAAGTGATTTGATGAGTTTGTCCAACTTTGTTTCCTCAATATCCTTACGCCAATATTCTTGGAAATTTACTCGCTCTTTTGACGTGCGATATTCTTCAACAAGTTTTAGCTATGAAAATTTTTAATTATTACTATTATTATTCAAGATGCAACGAGATTTGATATGTAACATAGAAACCTACAAGTTCATCGGCTTCTTGTTTAGAGAATTGATTATTATTAAACAATTCATAGGCTAATTGTTTCGGTTGGCCGCGCTCTTCGAAATTGTTGCTTACATAATACCAATTAATCACTGAGAGTGAGCTTGGAAGTTTTGGATCATATGGACCTTTGTTGAATGTACAAAAAATTTATTGAAGGATAATTAAACGCGATCAGACATCCGTTAACCGAAATATAAGTACCGATAATAGCACCCACAAAAGGTTCCTCATTCATTGCTTCATCTCGAAAAAGATTTTGATAGTTTTTCTGATTCTCAATATCTACGATTGACGGGTCTGGAACAAAGGTAGGGTGCGAGTGATACCAACCAACGACTCGCATGTTGCGCGCTTGGATGGCTTCCCGAACTTCCGTCTCTGACGTTGGATCCATCTCCACGTTCACATGGTCTTGGCCTGTCGCAAGTGAACGGCATGGGAATGTCGCTTTAACGATTAATTCTAAAATAGACAGAATTATTTTGATTGGCATATTTATAAGTAATAATAATAATAATATACAAAAAAATCAAAAAAACGTAAATCAACACACTCGACCCTCGTTATAACGAAGATTGCGTATAAAATCCGTTACACCAAAATTACTAATTTCGTTATAACGGATTTTATATGTGGAGCAAAAATTTTAAAAATCCGTTATAACGATGGTCGAGTGTAAGCCCTATATATGTACTCTTCTCTTCGGGATGCCAATGTCCTGCCAAAAATCCAATAATTTCAGTCTGCATAAGGTGTGCATGGAAATCCATCGCAAGCAAGACATTCGATTCCACAAGAATAGAAAAAGGTTGGCATCCATGTACATTTGAATTCGGGGCACCGCAAAACGGTTCGCATTTTACCATTGTTAAAGGATCACTCAACAAGTAAACCAATTAATTAAATGAGCAAGTTTGGTAATAATAATAACAAAAAGAAATAAATATGTTACATCCATATACATACGTATCATTACCATCAATTTGTTTAAAATTGATAGATGGCCTTTCTCTAATATTACGCAATCTGCTTTTGGCGTACTCTGTTCGACCATCCGAACCATAAGCGTTATCAGTATTGTTAGAATTATGTGAGGGGACTTCTTGGGTGGTTCTTGGCTCTTTGCGTTTATATCTTCAAATATATATACAAATATCATATGTGTAAATGACTAAGAAATTGATTAGCATTAATTTAACATTAACAGAATATACACTCACAGCTTAGGAGCTTTCTTTTCCTTCTCTTCCTTTATTTTCGAAATTTTTGAAGATTGAATGGGTTTTTTCCCATTTGGTGTAGTAGACGCGCTCGTAGGAATTGGTGCATCAGGACGAGGTCCATGTGAACCTTTAGGTGTTGTAGTTCCAGATGGCGGTGAGCCGGAGCCCGTTTGTACAGGAAGTTCGCTTCGAGACTTCATTCTACTAAGATATGGCTTAGCCGCTGCGGATTCGGGATCAAGATCTTTTCCCGATAAAGTGTAGCCACAACCAGATTCTTGAACCTATTTTATCATACATAAATGAAATGTCAATTTCGAAGGAAATTCATAAGTTTTATTTGAATATCATTATAAAGGCGGGACATTTTTACTTTAAGTGGCAAAGGAATTCCATCACGAAACAATTTGATGAAATGCTTTTGAGCATGACTTCTTATCGAATTTGGATCTCTAGTTCCAATATGTTCTGCAAGCTAAACGTGTAAATAATAATAATTTGATTTAAATATATATTATTTATGATATATCATAAAAATTCTTATCACAAAATCTTACTTTTTGCCAATCACGACCCCAACGTTCCAACGCTTCTAAGAACAAAAATTCTTCCTGTTCCGTATAAGTACCACTATTCATACCAGGATTTTTTGGTCTTGCTACTTTCTCTTTACGCTTTTTTATTTCTCCCGCTTCGATCAATCCAGACAATGACGAGGATTCATTGGTGGGTAAAGAAGACTGGTTTTGATTTCCTTTAGCTGATTCTTGATTGTTTCCTTTAGCTGATTCTTGATCGTTTCCTTTAGCTGATTCTTGATTATTTTCTGATTCTTGATTGACTGGTGGTTTCGATTCCAATTCACTTCTGATCATCACGAATGACGACGACGATGCTTCTTGTGTTAATAATGTCTTGTCGATCGTGGTGGATTCCGGCAGCGGTGCCATCTGCTGCTGCTTATTTTGTATTGCACTATCACTAAATTCTTTTTGCGACGCCATGTTTTCAAGCGCATTTGCTAAAGTGCCGATTGTGCCGGTATTCTCGGGCAATTTGTTGGTAAGATTTTCGAGATTATGATCGGCATTATCGGAATCGAGTTGTGCCTTGCGTTTTCTACCACGCGTGCTTCCTGTGACTAAGACAACGGGTTGAAGATTTTAGCTATGCATTGTCACGATTTTGTCTTGCAATTTTTACTTTGATATAGTAGACAGTAGCTGTATACCAATAGGCTTGATAAAAAAAATACACATGTAGATTCTACACAAACCTGCTTTCTTACTTCTACTAACTGGCTTATTTCTGGCACCAGGCGTATAGTCGTCGTCCTGTTCCATATTATCCGACTCATAATGCGGCTCATAAAAAATACTATTATATTCGGAATAATACGGGTGTTCGTCCATATACCCATCTTCCTCGGCCAACAACTGCGCAATATACGCCGACGACATTTCCTCTTCTTTTTGTTTGGTTAACGTTGTTTCATTATTATTGCCATGAGCTGTTGCTGATGCTTCGCGTCGATGGCGTTTAGCCAATGGCTCATCAGTGGTATTAGTGGTTGTGGGTCGATTTTTCGGAGGCATGATATCTTATAATATTAATCTTGTTTTAAAATAAACACGCGTGTGGAATTATTACGCGGGCACTTACTCCTAAAGTGGGTTAGATGTATGATTGAATTGTAATTTTTTCGCCTGATATGGAACAAATTGTTCAGATGTCGGAATAACTCGTATTATATTTTATTTTACTTCGCCCACGCGTTGTAATTTGAGCCCTTGCAACAGCTGAGGGAAAGAATACGCGCGTCCTTTTATATGAAGTCACATGATATTGTCTAATACTGACCAATAAGATTTCAGTTCTTATATTTGAAGCGGAAATTAAGGCGAAAAACGGTATCACGAACGCATCAACGAATAAATGGTTATTGAGAAAGATTAGTATCGCGTGGTGTTGGTGCAGCACCAATATTGTTATAAACAACCGCATGCGTGTGATTTGAATCTAGAGAAGACTATTCCTGGGTGAAAGGAAAGAAGCTATAATCGAACTGCATTATATATAATAGCGTAACTTTTAGATAAATTTTCAATTAAATAAACATCTCCTAATTTCATAACGATGATTCTGATTCAACAAAGTTTAAAAGTAACATCTTTAATTGATTAGATGTTTTTTTTATCCTGACCCTTTGATATAAGGATAAGAATCTGTTATCATCTCCATTGTATCGCCTTTTTTTCGACAATTAATTTTTCATTTTTATTGTTTGGTAGTCATTTAGTGTCGACATCCAATATGTTGTAGTTTTGTATAATCTGCGTTTGAAGTAAGATATAAAAGAATTTCGAAATGGTTTTTCGTGGAAATCGAGATTCCTTTTGGCTAACTCTCAATCAATATCAAAAAGAATAATGAGACCAATTTCTTATCTAAATTTTTTAAAAAGATAAATAAAACTTGTAAATAAAATACCCGTCGCATCTGATGATGGCATTATAACTCCAACTGCCAAACTAACCGCCAAACTCTAAAATTTCGCCATGCTTCGATCCTCCTATATTATGACTTAATACTAATGAATTTAGCATTGATATATATATATGACTTGAGAAATTTTTTTTAACTTTATCTTTTTCCTCATTTCAATTCGACATTGTTCTTAATTAAACCTTCAATAGAATACATTACAATCTCGTATTTCTCTATATAATCCCACGCACTCTAATAAATATAACTGTCAATAATAAATAAACTTGATCAGATTCTTTTGACATTGATATTAGGAATTTTAATGTTATTATATCGATATCGATATATAGTAAAGTCTGCTTTAAAAAAGTATTCTGTTGTTTGCGTGAGAAAATTATTTTTGGAACTACCAAACTTTATCATCACCCTAATCCAAAATTTTAGTTGGAGGTTTAGATCTTTTACGGTGCTATAGAGAGTAGTTTAATAACGATAATAAAGAGATCATAAAGTCACTTCAAAAAGAGGTGATTGTGACTATACAGGGGATGATTATATAGAGATATGTCATGGCCTGACGAATATATTGAGGAAGGCAAAATTGGCCATTACTTCTTTGTTTTTAATTTCTGGGAGACCAAATAATTACAAAATAATTATGGAGACGTTTTATTAGTTTAGCTTACAAAGTAAGTTAAATCAAATTTAAAGAAAGTTTAATCAAAGAAAGCTGAGGGCGTCCAATAGATATATTTACACAAATTGAAAAACTTATAACATTTACCAAACCATCAAATCTTTATTCTTAAATTGTAGTTTGAAAGTTTAAGGTAAGGTCTAGTTTAAACGACAACAAAAAAATGAATTGCCGGATTTGGTAGTGTTGGAATGCGGCGACGACGGTGGTTTTCGATTTTTACGTTTATTAATAAGGATACGTGTTTGAGAGTCGGACCAATCTTGACTCATTTTCAATAAGATTATTAATGAGAATTTAAGAACTATCAAACCTTACTTTTATAGTGAATTGCTGTTCCCACGCTCAAGACATCATCTTATAACATGTCAATATTTCGCGTCAAATACGTCAATATTTCGCATCAAATAGCATTATATATTATTAATTTATTAACTGTTCCGTGATCGCGGAGTAACGACAGCAGCAGATGGTGTATGTATTAATAAACGGTGATGGAGTAACGGCGGCGGTAGTAATCCTGCGTGGTCCGATTGGACTCAGCGATAGTGATTTGTCGATTGTATCGAAAGATTTGTTGACAGTTTCAAGAAATTTATCGATAGTGTCGAAAGATTTCTCGATAATGCCGAGGGATTTGTCAAGAGATTTATTAGGGATTTATTTGTTCCAGTTCAGAAATTTTGATATTAGTGGCATGCGTTTCTGGATGATCTTTAAGATATGCGAGTAAGTCGTGGTAATTTCTGGACTGGTTCCATATTTATTGTTTCGATAGATTTACTGTGTGCAGCGAAAATGGTTTCAGTTATTTTGTCCATGGCGCTGTTGGTTGGAATGCGGCGGCGGAATTATTTCAAATTTATTACCATCTGGAACATCAGTTTATTATAAATTATTAGTCGTGTTATATGAAAATACTTAGAATCCGATGAATTTCTAAGGCTGTTGTATTATTTATTCAATACTTAAGTAACTCCCAACACTACTTAGCGCAAAAGCACTATTATTAGGTTCAATTTCCAATTACCATCAAGTGCACATACCGTTTACTCTTAGTATCGAACTTTACAGAAAGCAAAATCAGGTGAGAAAATATTTCGAGATGCAGAGCCTCGTCATGGCGCAGGTTACAAGGGGCGCAAGAGTATGGCAGAGGATGCAGAGCCCACCCTTGTCGTGGCGTAGGTAACAAGGGCGCTAAGAAATAACATACCGATGTACTAGGCCAAAAACATTTCCATCGCTATATAGAGCAGCAACAGCAGCAGCAGCAGCAACAAGCTAGCTATTATGACAATGATGTCTGATAGTAATAATAATACTACTATTGAAGATAATTAAATTAACTGACTATTGTAAAGAAAACAAATGGAAAATAGATACATCGCAAATAATTATGAAAGTGATGATAAGCTTTTTTTAATTGATAAATGAAAAAATGAATGAATATATTCAGAAAGATAAATAGTGAGTTATACGAATGAATGAGAATTGACGCTCTTGTGATTTGTTTGCGGATTTAGATAAATTCTTCTGGTTTTTTACTAGAATTTTTAATGTCCTCCTCTGTTACTGAATCATATTTGCTCCTATAATTAATAGTTGAAGATTGATAAGTGTAATAACGATTGGTTACTAAAAACAACAATATACGTACGGGTTGAAGGAATGTAAAAATTCCTTTGATTCTAGAAATTTTCCAAATAATTTCATTTTTGAAAAATGAGACAACTCTGTTTGCGATGCTTTTCGCCAAAGATGCCAGCGGTGCATCTAAAAATATATAATATTAATATTAATATTCTAAAGGAATTCGCCATGGTAATATGATGAATCAAAAAAACAAAATAAATATTCACCTGACAATCAGCGGTGTCGAATTCACTAGGTGAATAATTTTCACGCATATTTTGAAATAGCTGTTCGAGATTGAAACCATTAGAGAGTCCAGTTAATGTTTCGACTTCTACTCTTGATCCAGTTTCGGTTTTCCAAAGTTCATCCAGAGTCTTTGAGCCCATTGGGACAAGATTAACAACCTTGTTCAAAAAACTATTATTTTTATCATTATAATAGAAAGTAAGATTTCTTTGTGAGCTATCAAAAATTTTCGTGTTCCCATTAAATTAATTAGTAGGAAAGAAAGAAAAGTATTAACTCATTTCGTTTTTCGTTTGATTTTTTATTGATTGCTGCTGGTGGAAGAGTCAATTCGATACATTTTTCAATAAATTTCCAGTGACTCCACCGTTTTTCGCCATTAATCACTCGCAAGATTGTGTTAAGCCCGGATTTGCAAGCAGGCAATGTGTTTTCTAGTTGTTTCTGTATTGTGTCAATAATACTTTTGGTGGTCGCTAACTATTTATTATTTCGCACATTGAAAAAAGATATTAATGAACTTTATATCCACGCAAATAATATAATGATTATCTCCTCTCAGCTTACTTGTGCCTCATCCAAATGGAATTTTTGAGAGGCAGGAGGGTTAGCTTTCTCTCCAAAACGTTCCGTTGCATAAATTCTAGGCATACAATCAGCTATGATATAGAATTGTAACAAAATGACGCTACGAAAGCGTGGATCGCAGACCTAGTATAAAAAGGACGAAATTACTTTCTGTCAGAACATATTCAAGTAAATACATAATACATAAAAATTAAATTACGAACCTGATAACCAAACAACACCTGACTAGTAAGAAATTTCGGCCAAAATTGAATACCTTCTTCGCAATTAATATATTTATCGTCTTGCTTTAAAAGCTTCTGCTTTTTCCTAGTATTTATGTCTTCGGTTGAGCAATTTACTTCTTGATCAATAAGATATTTACGTTTTTTGGTGGTAAATCCATTATTACTATTATTATTGTTATTATTATTATTATTATTATGATTATTATTATTATGATGATGATGATTAATATTATTATCATTATTATTATCATCATATTTATCAATATCCATTATCTCAACTGTTTTACGAGGGGGGTCGCCATTTAAAAACGAAGAGTCTGGGGAGACCGAGTGCGAGTTGGTATTATTATTATTATTATTATTAGTAATAGTAGTAGTAGTAGTAGTAGTAGGCTGAGAGTTGCCTTTAATTGAAGGCTCTGTTGTATCGTAATTAGAAGTTTTTTTCAAGGGAATTTTTGCAAATTCATCGAGAACAGTTTGCATATCCTGTATAGATTAAATAATTAACATACATTCATGCTAAACCCGCTTGACTATAACAAAATATTTTGTATTAAATACCTCGAGGATACTACTTATTTGATCGCCAGGACTTGACATAGGATTCTTAAAATATTCCTGAAGACCCCATATTTTTGAGTACAATTGACTGTATTTATCTTTGGAAAGAAATTCTCGCGTTTAGTCGAAATTTAAGGGAGGCTAATATTTAATCATGTGAAATTTACCTTGTCGAATGACATTGAATGGAGTAGCATTCAACGCGTCACAATCTGCATTTAGATTGACGGCTGGATTCGGTAGTGAAAAATAAACAATGGTTACTTTTGTGAAGTTTTACCAGTGCCAGTCGTGGAAAGGAATAAAAAGATTAACCTGATCGTTCATCGATTGCAAATGAATTTGCGGCAAATGTTGAGAGTCGACTACTGAATTCGAGGTGATGAGCTTTATCTGTTCTCCTAAGTAATTCATTTATTAGACGAATTATCACTAGACTTCTTCCTTGATCCGAGAGGAGCACCTTTTCATTAAGAAAAATCCAATCAATACCGAAAAACTTAAAAAAGAAAAAATTTGGCATCTTTATCGAGCCATCTAAGAAAGATAAACACCTTAAGTAACTGTGACTTATGATTTTCCATAAACTCAAACAGTTCCACACAGTCATCGATGAGTTGTGTTTCAAAAAGATCTTCTAATAGTATGTGTGGTAGCTTAAGAAATGGCGGTTCACCTCGTATCGGCGTGGCTTTATCTTGAGATTTAGTTTGTCTGATGACTTTATTCTTTATCTGTTTTTCCTTTTGTTCTATAACAATTCTCCAGTCTTGCTCTTCGCCAAGAACTGAATGAAAATTGACGGTGTGTGTGTGTGTGTAGGTTGATGATGGAGATTATCAGTGTGTGAATATAATCTTCTTTTCCCTATCTTCCCGCAACTGCACATTCGACAATATTCAATAATGAGGTACTCTCGAAAATCGACAGCCAACCTGAATTTTGTGTACAAAAAATCGCTAACTCCAGTAGCGATGAGACCTCGTCAAATTTTTTCTGCTTGTCTATCTGCACCTGTAAGATGAATTTTTATTAATCTAGTTCTACATGCGCAAAAAAGTGGTGGCTTTAAAGAAAAAAAGTCACGAATTTGACACTCACAAGAATCTCAAACAACTTTTCTTTGAAAGCTTGTTCCAGGGCAACCCTTCGATTTTGTTTTGGTTCTTGTATAAAATGTGGCTTTATATACTTGTCAATGAGCTGTGTCCAATCTTGTAACAGCGAGTATTCTTCTAAGCAACAATTAATCGCCTCTTTCAGTCCCGGAAGAAACGTCAACATGGAAGGGGATAATGTCGGTGCACTCATTATTACTTTTAGTTTGAAATCTTTATTTTTGTAAATAGTAATAAACTGAAAGAGATAATAAGGTTGGTTAACAGTCTGCTGAAACGATAAAACAAATTTAAATAACAAATGGTGCAAATTTATGATCTGACATATGTATCATAGTATAAATAACGATAATACATGTACAATAAAATGCGGTCGATCTATTTAAGCTGATTGTCTTATAATTTTAGAGATTAATGTTATTATTATTTTTTCTTTGGTGCTTCCTTGACAAACGGTAAGAAATCGCGTCCATCTAAATATGGTCGAAGTACCGGCGGAACAACTACTCCCTATTATCAAAATGAATCATAAGAATAACGAAAAGAATTAAATTTCACTTTTTTAATACGATAGTTTAGCCAAACTAAAATTCGTTTACATACATCAGCAGTCTGCCAGTTCTCCAACACACAACATAACGCCCGCTCAGTAGCACATAAGGTCGCGTTCAGACAATGAACGTATTTTTTCTCTCGCTCACCCATTTTTTTTGTGCCACATCGAATCTCTAATCGGCGACTTTGATAATCCGTACAATTCGAGCAACTAACCAGCTCTTTGTACTCTTTTTGGAATGGGAACCAAGCTTCTAAATCATATTTCTTTGCCGCGGCATTATTTAATGCGCCCGACACAATCGAGACGATACGATATGGTAGGCCGAGCGATTGATAAAAGGCTTCAGAAATAGCAATCATTTCATCGAAAAGTTCCCACGAGGTTTCAGGTGTACTGATGACAAATTGTTCAATTTTTTCAAATTGGTGCACGCGAAATATACCCCATGTATCTTTGCCGTGTGCTCCGGCTTCTTTTCGGAAGCAGGTTGAATATCCGGCGTATCTGTCGAAAATAATAATGATAAAAATTTTTAATAATTTATAAAATCAAGATCAGAGTACACGAAAGCTTACTTGACTGGTAATTGCTCAGAAGGTCGTTCAAACCATTCATTAGCGTGGAATGCCGAAATAGGTTGTTCAGAGGTGGCAATTAGATATTTATCATCGTTATCACCGGTAACCTTTTATCGAACATACGTAATTTATTAATTGACCCACATTCCTTAATTGAGCTACAAAAAGCCTTCGCCTATCATAACATACCTTGTATAGTTCTTCATCAAACTGTTCTAATTGGGCGGTTTTCGCCATGTACTCTCGCCTCATGAAAAAAGGGGTCTGCAATTTTTTGTATCCTCTTTTTCTCAAGAAAGAAAGCCCATATTGTATAAGGGCCAAATTAAGATCCACACCATCATTAGAGAGAAAATAGCCTCGATGTCCTGCTATATTAGCGCCTATGAAGACGAGATTAATTTGCCATATTAGATTATTTCTATCGGTAAAATATCTGAAGAATTATGAAATTACCTCGCTCAGGATCATAACCATCAATTCGATACAAGACTTCATGATGTGATAAAATACCGTCTCTTTTCTCTGCCTTGTGAAATCTTTTCTCTTCACCAATTACAACTACCGGATCCGCAGGTTCCCATTTTCGAATTATCTTATTATCATCTTCATTTAACGAGAAAGGAACCGAATCGTGCACAATATTGCCAATGGTTGCTGCTTTTGACATTAACTCTTCTTCCCTCTCTTTTACAGAAACTGTTTTGAGCTCCTTCTCGTTATTTAGACGCTCTTTCTCGGCTAATAATTCTGAAGCGTCTTCTTTTGCCTTTATTTTGCCAAATGTGGCATAAAATGTAATTAGGGGGGGGGGGGGTAAAAATATAGATTTAAGTTGGCAGGTTTATTCGACCTATCAAAAGAAAATCAATTGCGAAACCGGTTTCTTCCACAATAATTCGTATATTTCACCTTCATTTTTTTGCCAATGTCTTTTTGAATGGCATTGGTTTTTTTATTGATTTCATCCAATACAAATTTTGCTAATAATATTGAAAAAAGTATAGCTAACTGAGAAGACATCAAACTTACATGTAAACTTATTTTACAAATTTATTCCGAAAACAGCTTAATTCAATATACCTTTTCGCCATTCATCATACAAATTTATCACTTGGTCCACGATTTCCACCGAGGCTCCTCGCTTTCTCTGTGACTCACGAATAAGTTCAGGGTTTCCACCCTTATCTGTTTGGAATAGATTAAGATCAAGCATAACGACTAATATTACAAAAATGCTCTAGAAAAATAATCTATATCAAACAAGCGGAGTTTAAATAGAAATTAATTCTTCATAATGACTCATCTTGATTGTATGCTGCGCAAAATCCCGTCAGAAAAATCCTAACTTTTTAATCTTTAGTTAGCTTGGTTGTATTTTTTTTGAACATTTTTTAAACTTATTTTTACAATAAATATGTATTTTTGCTATACTTAGATTAATTCAAAACCTATTTCTGAATTATAGTAAAAAATTGCAATAATTTGCTAATTGTATAATATTTTCGTAATTATATACAATTATAATTATTTAATATCATCCAAATCAAAATTAGTTAATTTCTGGTGTTTTTCTTATTGTATTTATTTTTGAAAAAATTAAATTATTGTGGCGGATTAAAATGAAACCAGATTAAAACGAAACAGAGTGTGATGTTTAAATAATCATAGGTCAATTTTAATGCTATACCCTATGCTCTAACCTAACCCTAACCCTTCTCTGAAATTTTTATTCCATAAAAATAGATCCAAATTTTATTTTGATTTGATTTTATTATAATCTGGTTTCGTTTTAATCTGGTTTCGTTTTAATCTGTCACAATTATTGATAATTTTATTATTTCAAAGTAGATTTTAGTCAAAATGTGATTTCATTTATAAATTTGTAAAACAGATTCATTTGTTAATAACAATTTTATTATTTCAAATAGAATTAGACCACACAAAATAAATTTTCCAATTTTCATATCCCGGTCGGATCACCAAATCAAAGTTGAGAAATTTTAATTTTGAGACACAGTAATTAGTATTCCTAAAATTAAAATTTAACTAACCTTAAATCAAGCTTGAATTTGAATATTTTTAATAGTTAATTGGCAAATTAGTTCTAAATAAAATTGTAAATTATAAATTAGTATAAAATAGTTGATATTTACAATCAATACTCACAAAGTAGATTTAAAAAATATTTTTAATGATTATGATTTTTAATTCACTTTTATTGTGTCAATATAGATTTTTATTTTTTAACAAAAAATATAAACTATAATTATAAGTAAAGATGTAAAATATAATTAAAGCTACAAATTTATATATAATAATTAATATTAATGATAAATATTTACAATCAATATTCACAAAGTAGATTTAAAAAATATTTTTAATAATTATGATTTTTATTATATCAATATAAATTTTTATTTTTTAACAAAAAATATAAACTATAATTATAAGTAAAGATGTAAAACATAATTAAAGCTACAAATTTATATATAATAATTAATATTGATGATAAATATTTACAATCAATATTCACAAAGTAGATTTAAAAAATATTTTTAATAATTATAATTTTTATTATATCAATATAGATTTTTATTTTTTAACAAAAAATATAAACTATAATTATAAGTAAAGATGTAGAACATAATTAAAGCTACAAATTTATATATAATAATTAATATTAATAATAAATATTTACAATCAATATTCACAAAATAGATTTAAAAAATATTTTTAATAATTATAATTTTTATTATATCAATATAGATTTTTATTTTTTAACAGAATATAAACTATAATTAAAGATATAGAACATAATTAAAGCTACAAATTTATATATAATAATTAATATTGATGATAAATATTTACAAAGTTATATACTGATTATGATAAATATTTATTAATATAAAAACAAAAATATTTCAGTTATATCTAAGTAAATATTTATTTTTCAATAGAAAACATAAATTATAATTATAAATAAAGTTATAAAGTATTTTTTAAATCATCCAGCAAGCAATTTGCCTGCTAAAATTTTTTTAGCTTATTTTTGCATATTTATTTCTAATTTTATAAGCTTGATTTCTCCTTTTTCTAAGCTAAAATAAAAAAATTGCATATTTTTAATCAATATACTCTAAATTTTGTAATTTTTATTTATAAATTGCTCAAAATATTTGATTTATTTTGTAATCAATTTTGTAATTTTATTATAAAATATTCTTAAAATTTAAGACTAATATAATAAAAATTTTTTAAAATTGCTTACCTTTAGCTCTATTTTTTTATAATTATTAAAAAAAATGAAAATAATTATTAATATTAAAAATATTTTAATTTTTGATAAAAATATATTAAATATAAATTTATGAAATTTTAGCAAGCAAATTTGCTTGTTAAACCTGATAATTTAAGAAATAATATGACCTACAAATATTTATATACTAATTGATATTGATGATAAATATTTATAAATAAATATAAAATCATTTTTGTGTCTAAATAAAATTTAAATTCCCAACAAGAAATATAAAAAATGATTTTAAATAAAAGTTATAGTCCTAATTTCTAGCTACAAATTAAATTTAAAAATAAAAATACAGATATTCAGATCAAAAGTATTTTTGCTGGTATAAAAACCAAAAAATTTATTTTGTATGGTCTTATAAAACAAATTTTCAATAAAAAATAAACAAAAGTATAAATTGAATTTTTATAAATAATTACAATAATTATTTATAGAAAATATAGATTATTTTTTTATTCTATATATTATTTAACTTAATTACATTCTTATAGTTATTATTTGAGTTATTCCTATTATAAATAAAAATTTTGCAATAATGCTCCATTTTATTAGATAAAAAAATCACAAGATCCGATGAATACACATGTGCTATAGATGGTGATAGAATTTTCGACAGTTTAAACAAATCTTGCTAGAAATTTCGCGAAAGATAACGTCATTAAGCTTGTGGAATGATTTAATTATTTATCAAGTTGGTTTTTTTTTACAGCGTGCGCCAATTATTTTTCTTTCTATACGCGAACTTATTTTGCGATTTTTCAACACACAAATATACAAAGTACATTAACAATTGAAGATCGTCTAAAATAATGTCGTCTAGGTGAGTGAAGGAAATAATACGTACGCGTAAAAAATTACGGTATAATGTTCTAATGCTATTCAAATATTCGTGTCTCAAGTTCCATGCTTCACCCGGAAGTTCTTTGGGCACAAAGAACTGATGAAATATACTTTACAATAAACCTCACTGATATCAAAGACCCCGAACTCGAAGTAACTAAAGATAAAATATCCTTTAAAGGCAAAGGAGGGGCCGAACAAAAATTGTATGGCTTTGAGTTGGATCTTTACAATGAAATTAATCCAGAGGTATTAATTATTTTCCTCTGGATCCAGTTACATGATAAATTTTAATTCGTGATTTTTTTGGTCGTTGATCTCATTGCTTATTTCATGATCTTTTAACAAAAGTCATCAAAAAGATCCCAAACTGGGCGTCATATATTTCTTGTTCTTGACAAGGCGGAACATGGTCAATCATACTGGCCACGTCTTACAAGGGAGAAGATCAGATTGGCTTTCTTGAAAACGGACTTCGCAAAGTGGAAAGATGAAGATGAAGAAGAGAGTGGTGATCCGGCACAAGACGCTTTAGGTGGAATGGACTTTTCCAGTTTAATGTCTGATGTTGGTGGAGGGGCAAGTAACACAAGATTTTTATTCATTTTTTACATTTATTTTTTAATAAACATTCTAAAATATATATTATGGTACTTATATATATAGATGGATTCTGACGATACTGACGAAGAAATTCCCAATTTGGAAACTGTCACTGATCAAACAAAGGTTAATGTTACAGAACCAATGGCTGTCGAGGAACAAAAGCCGAAAGAGGCTCAGGAGAGTGATAAGACCGAAAAAGAGGCTGAAAAAGAAGAGAAAACTGAAACTAAAGAGCAATAATAATGATCGAAATGAGAATAATCATAACGATATAAATTACATTCTTTTAGCGAAACAAGAGAATGAAATTTTTCGAGAATATATTTTATATACATCATCCATCCATACATCCATACAATCTTGTATACATACATATATGTGGAGATTTTAAATGTCCAACAGCGAGTGAATAAGAGAAAAAAAAAAGATGATTAATAATGTTATTACTACTTTGCTAATAATACTTATTACAATATAATCATAATTGTAATAGGAATAATAATAATAAGACTACATTGTATGTAGTATTTACAAATAACAATAACAAAAACACCAGCAACGCAATTAACACTGCTTAGAATAATTAGAAAAAGTAATAACTTTATTTCTTTTTCACTCGTCATTTTATCAAAAAAGACGGATACATAATAAATTACGCAGGAAAAATGTCTTATTTATATTTATCCCAGGAGTAATAGTGATACAATAATATATAATATGTATGATAATGTAATAGTATAGAAGAAGCAGGTGTGTTCAATAATCAAATCTACAAAGGATAAGACAAAGACCTAATAATAAATAAAACCAACCTAGAATAATATATTACTACGCGTTACGTTGCAACAGTTTAACGATCAAAATATTTTTCTGGTCATTGATTTTAATCGTGACCATCCATATGTTGCAATGTCCATAATAGAGAATGTTGCTGATTCCTAATAATGATGAAAAATAATTTGATTAGTTTGTTAATAATAATACTAGCGATAATAGATATTTTACCTGTTTTTCGGATAACTGTTGAGTATCATTTCGATTCTCTCGCGCTTCTTCCACAATCATATGTTCTTCCTCGTTTATTTTTTCGGGAATATCGTGACCAATCATCTTTAACCATTCAACTGAACGATAGTGTAAATGTAAAATAGCCAATGGATCGCCTTCCTCCTTCAGATGAATTGTATTACGTGGTCTTTTATTATGTGTCCTTTTCTTACGACGACGATTTTTAGGGAGCGATGCAAGTTTACTCTTTGATGATGAAGATGATGAAGGCGATTTATCCTTTACATGTTGTCTTTGTTGTTGCTGCTGCTGCTGTCGTCCCTTCATCTGATGATTTTCGCGTGGTGTGCTTTGACGTGTTACCACCACTCGTCGAGCTTTATAAAAGACTACCGAGACAACTCCAAAACTTCCAACTTGGGACACTTCATTCTTTTCGGTCCATTGTTTCGTACCAAATTTGAATTTTTGTTTTCTTATTCCTTCTTCATCATTCTCAAAGGAACCTTGTGATACTGATTTCGTGGTGGTGTTGTTGTTGCTGCTCCTGGCTAATGCAGTATACGTCCAATCATATTTACCATCGATGTGTACGTTCGCTGATAAAAGGCCATTACTATTATTATGGGTTGAGCCTGAAAATCGTACTTTAAAGTCCGCGTTTGGATCTCTGACCGCCGCATACACTATTTTATCACTGATAAAGTGTGAGATTTTATTTAATACCGATGCATTCTCAATTTAATTAATTTAATTTAATTTAATATATTTAAGATACACCAGATTGGCTGGCTATAAAAGATATTTGTATGGTAAATATGATATTGGTAATGAAATAAACCTCATCTGCGGTTCAAGTGTATCTTCGTTTCTGATATATGATTTGTCCTCACAAGTCTAAAATAAATGAAAATTTGAGTGGAAAATTTTATCAATTTTTTTTAGCGTATATTCTAATGCATACAGCTTGTTTTGAGGCAGGTTCACTATATTCCTCAAGAGGTTGCCCATCGACCAGCAGCTCAACTGTAAAGCCTTCTAAATGCATTTTATAGTTAAATACTAAATAATGAGTATATTCTTTTGAGAATAACGATAGATAGAATCTCTAATCTATTTGGAAAACGCGAAATTTAAATTTCCAATAATAATTCGAGTCGCGTCTCGAATTCGATCGACTTTGATTACGTATCTCGATTCCGAATTAACCGATTACATTTCACGAAAGCGTACGCGAATTGTCTTCTTTTTTCCTCTCTTCTGGCAATAATGACCGAGACAGAAACAATTTCTCGCATTCCCGATTTAGATCTTGCGCATCAGCGCTTCATTTTGAATAATCAAAAGGCTGTTGAACTTCATAATGAGGCTAAGGAAAAATTAATTGTTGCAATTGAGGAGAATAGTTAAGTTTTGTTAGATATCACCTCACCTTGTTGCAATTCGGTATTTTTTAAACTAATAAGTGATGCGTATTTAACATTACCTACGTTCTCTTGCAGATATGGCGCCGTTCTATCAAATTGTGACAGATGAACTCAAGATTCCTCTTGACAAACAACTACTCACCAAATATCAAGAAGCCAACAAAGAAGAGCTTCAAAAACTTGATGAACGTCTAGAAGACGCTGAACAAAATTTAGGCGAGACAGAAATAAGTGATGCTCTTTTAGCAAAAGCAAACTTTTACGCAAAAATCGGGGATAAGGTAACAAATAGATTGGATTCTTTGGTTTAATGGTAATGATGCTTTATTTTTTTTGGCTTTAAATATTGATAGTCGATCAATTCAGGAAAATGCCCTTGCAGCATATCGAGTTGCCTTGGACAAGACAGCTGGATTAGGTTCCCGAATAGATATTATATTTTCTTTTGTACGAATAGGATTCTTCTTTAATGACAATGATCTCATTAGCCGAAATATTGAAAGAGCCAAAAGGTAAATTCGTAGATTGTCATCCTTATGTTTCCTAATTAATAAAAAAATGATTACTTTTCGAAAATTAGTCTCATTGAAGAGGGTGGAGATTGGGATCGCCGTAATCGTCTTAAAGTCTACGAAGGCATCTATCGTTTATCCATTCGAGATTTCAAGACGGCAGCGAATTTATTTTTGGACACACTTTCGACTTTTATGTCAACTGAATTAATGGAATATAAAGAGTTTGTAAAATATGCGGTGCTTGCCGGGATTATCTCTTTAAAGAGAGTGGACTTGAAAAAGAAGGTTACTTGGAGCGCGACGATATTTTTTAATTGATATTCATATGTGATGAATCAAGCGGAATAAAAGTGTGTGTGCGTATTTTGTTTTCGTTATTAAATAGGTAATTGATGCGCCGGAAGTATTAGAGGTCTTGCACGAAATTCCCTATCTCGAAGCCTACATTAACTCGCTTTACAATTGTCAATACGCGAAATTTTTCCAGGCTCTTGGTAAAATAATGAATCAATTAACATGGATTTTTTTGCGATTATATTTTTGTTTATCATTCTTTTGAATATTGAATTCTTTGCATTCAGCTGATGTGGAGAGAACCCACCTTTTCACTTCTCGCTATATTTTCCCACACCAGCGATACTATGTTCGTGAAATGCGAATTATCGCATACGCACAACTATTGGAATCGTATCGGTCTTTGACTATGGAAAGTATGGCACAAGCATTTGGAGTGTCGGATGAATTTATTGACAAGTAAGAAAAGCAATATTTATGTTTAAGCAATTAATTAGTCAATTAATTAATTGCTAAAAATGATATTTTATCTAGTGATGTGTCAAAATTCATTGCGGCTGGACGCCTAAATTGTGTTATCGACAAAGTGAATGGTATCGTGGAGACAAATCGTCCAGACGCAAAAAATGCTCAATATCAACAGACAATTAAGCAAGGCGATGTTTTATTGAATCGTATACAAAAGTTGTCTAGGGTTATCAATGTATAATTATTTAATTGTAACACCAGTCTTTTTTTATTAATTCAACACCATCACATCCATACACTTCATCGTCCCTACTGTTATTATATATACATATTTTGCCAAAAGATGATGATGATGATGACAGTCAGTCGGTAAATTTTTTGATTTGTTTTGTTCGATAGTTGAAGGTTTTTATTTATTTGTTCGATGTTTTTACGAAAAAGGTGTTCTGAAATTTTTTGTGGAGGATTCGATTCCAAATTATTTATCGAGATCAAACAAAGTTTTAATAAATAGAGGAGTGACATATCTTCAAATAGAAATTTCTATATAACTGCTTTCTATATGTAGTTGCGTGTGCAATACCCAAAAAATTTAGGAAAGAATTACAGTTCGTCCACTACATAAAGTAAAGAAGTGATAAGTAAACAACATCACAGTAAGATAAATCAATAACATCCAAAAAGAAAAACCAATAACCTAATCGTCTTCTTTTCAACGACCGACTCGGGTTTAGCCCTATTCAAGACTTTCAGAAAAGCTTGTACACGTGCTCGCATTCTCGAATGCATGTAAGCTTTTGAACATTTTATATGATAGTGGAGGTAATCGCGAAAGAGTTGGATTTGGGATATGGTTGCCTCTCTTACATCTGGTTTTATAAAGTGACGAGGGAACAGGACTGGAATAGAAAATATACATATTTACAAAGATTAAAACGAATGTTTCTGTTAGAGGCAATATTATTTGATACTGACCAAAAGTCACATAACCAACTTCTTCGTTGTCTCCCAGAGATTGCAGTTCAGGCAAATGCCTAATTTCTAAAGGAGGTTCCTTATTAGAGTAGAGAACTTGTGGTGCATTTTGGATAGTGGGATGACGACGAGCATCTACAAATTCCTTGATAATTAAATCGAAATAAGAAATATTCTTCAAAGGAGAAAAAGATAAGTGACTATCATAATAATTCCTACTTGTAGAAAGACTCTGCCGATAATTCTATCAGTCTCCTCTTTAAACAAGGTCGAAAAAATCACGGTTACCCGATCATGTTGTGCCTGGATATAAATCGCTTCCTGTTCTCGATATTGAATTTGCATAAGATCGGGGGTAGGATTCGGTTGCTTCTCATCTTCGAATTGTCTTTGCTGTACAAAGGCACGTTCGAATGGTTGAGCTAAAAGATTTCGCTTGATAAGCGATACTTTATTGACCAGTTCTTCTCTGTCCTCTGAAAAAAAAATTATTAATTTCATTAAAGAATGCAAGTCTCTTATATTAATCAATGGTTTATTATAAACATAACCAACCTTTAGCTTCGGGAAGCACTTTCAAGTTGAATTCAAGCGTAAAATTATATCCGTTTTCAGTCTCAGCAGAAAAATACGGACCATACTCTTTTTTAAGCATTCCGTGAACACCCCACTTTACTAGCTCGGGAAAACATTGCCACGAGAGTGAGAAAAGGATGACATTTTTTGAGGTTGGTGTTGAAATTCGATAGACTACACCGTCGAAATCTACCACTGTGGCGTCTAAAGCTGTAGGTTCTAGACTGTTGTCATATTTGTTAGTCTGCAAATTTACGTGTTTAGTAAAGGACATGTATTATCTACCTCACCAACGGCTGCAAAGTTTCTTCAACCACGACATTATGGTAGTCTAACAATATCATTTCTGGCTTTTGTAATTTTCGGAGAGTGTGAAAAACGAAGTTTGTTCAACTGTAGTAATGTAGAATTTTGGTGTAACTCAAGTATTAGGCATGTCATAAATTTAATTCCGCCAAAATTACCAGATTGCCAGACGCGAACTGGTCATAAATACGCGTACCAAAAAAATTCCTTTTAGAAAAATGTCCATACAGAGTAAGACTATTCCCCAACCAATTAAAGAAATTCAAGTTCCACTTCACGAAGTTCAAGTTGTAGTCGAGCCAGTTGAGCGTAAACAGGTATACAAGCACACAAATACCCGAAAGATGCGCAACTCACCGACACCTACGATAAGAAGGAGTGCTCGTAAAGCGCAAGAAAAAGAGAATATCAACAGCAGCAGTAGCAACAACATTATTTATTCTACTCCAGATAACCCCTTTGATGTGAATAAAGAAAATGGCACTGACGATGAAAATACCTGGAATTTTCGAAGTGGAAAGAAGCGTCGGGTGGTGGGAAATTTCGAACGACAATTGAGAAACGTGTTAAAAGAGGCAACGGAATCTAAACAAGAAGCAACAGCATACCTAAGGTCCAAATATATCAAATCCTCTCCAGTAAAGGATTCTTTTCAAGTACCTGACGAAAGTAACGGAGAAACAGAGGAGGAGGTTGATGAACTGCAAGATACAGTACTTGGTGAAAATGCAGATGATGAAAGTGATGAGAAAGAGGAACAAAAAATACAAGTGATTGAAACCAAAAGAACTCGACGAGTAGCTGCTGTTCACGAAAGAGACGAAAAAGGTTGGGAACGATATTTCGCAGACCATCACAGCACATCATCAGCCCGAACTTCATTTCACACACTTTCGAAACTTCCCGCGTTCGAACAAAAGGATTTGATTGAAACTATTAATTCACTACCGTTAAAACACCAAGATCAATTAGGTACCATTGCAAAAAATTACGAGGCTTTATTCTCCCAATGGTATTATCAACTCAGATGTGGCTTTAATATAATATGTTATGGATATGGTTCCAAACGAGGAATATTAGAGAAATTCGCACGTGCACGAGACGACATACACGTTCTCATTATAAATGGATTCATGCCCAAAACCACGCTCAAAACCGTTTTACGCGACATTATTCAAGGTTATCTGAATGAACAACCACACGGCTCAATGGAACAACAGACAAAACATATTGTCACATATTTTTCAATTCTAAATCGCGAAATCAATAAATTATACCTAGTTTTCCATAACATTGACGCCGTACAACTTCGCACCGAACAAACGTACAACTGCCTCAGCATCATCGCTTCTTGTCCAAACATTCGTCTTATCGCCTCTACGGATCACATCAACATCGGGATGCTATTTGATCAGGTGACCACGTCTCGCTTCAATTGGTTATGGTTTGAATTGGCCACCTTCCAACCCCACAAGATCGAACACAGCTTCCAAAACTCGTCGTTGATGAATAGCGAGTCCGAATTAAGCCCGCAAGCAGTTTACCACGTTTTGTCAAGTTTGTCCCAGCGTGCACGTGGTGTATTCAAGACTTTGATTGAACATCAGATTGCCGAAGCTGAAAAAGCAAGCAAACATCTCAAGCCTAAAGATACGGGAATAGAATATAATGCGTTGTATGATAAATGTAGAAGGGAATTTCATGTCAATAGTGATAATACATTCCGGGGGCATCTAACCGAATTCCGCGATCATCGCATAATTCAGTCTTATCGAAGCGCTCATGGAACCGATATCCTTTACGTTCCGCTGGATCCCGATAGGTTGAAGGGTATTGCTGAGAAATTAGAAGAACTGGGCGAAGACTAAAATATTAACTGTGTGTGAGAGATAATGTCTAATTATTTTTCCTTGTAATTATTACTTATCATAGTATACTATAATAAATGTTTTTATCCTTCTTGATAATTCATCATAATCATCATTGTTAGTATACTATTATCTTTCTTGCATTTTCTATTTTTAATCCTTTATATAAAAATTCAATAACTTTATTAATCCTATCACAAAATAAAGTCTCGACCAATACTAAAGTTATTCCACGTTTCTAACTACATCATCAAGAGACTTGGCGAAATAGTCTATGTTTTTCGTTGACAATCCAGCCATTGAAATTCTACCGTTATCTGTCAAATAAATATGATACTTCTGTATTAATACCTTTACTTGCGATGCTAAAAAGAATTAGAGAGTAAAATTTATTAGAATTCGTAAGTATATATAACTTTACGAAGACAAGAGATTGAGAATATATTATTATTTATTTACTCCTTAATCCAGTATACGAAAACATTCCAATCTGTTCGAGAATATGATTCCATGTTCCTGGAGTCCTTAACTCGATTAGTTTATCGTACAATTGTTTTCGCATCTCTATAATACGATAACTCATTGTCCGGAGATCTTCAACCCTATCGTAAATGACGAATTATAGTTCAAATAATTCATTGAACAGAATTAAAATATCTTTGCTATTTACCATTCTGCATGTAACTGAGGATCATTGAGAACCAAGCTTACAATGCGAGCACCATATGCCGGAGGATTAGATATTTCGGCACGTTGAAGCCTTGCTAGTTGACTCTCAATTTTGATGGCAGCGTCGGCATTCTTTGATACGACCGTCAAGCAGCCAGCACGTTGACCTTTGATTTTGTAAAAATTGAATTCCCGAATAGAAAGAGACTTGAGGATAAACTCGACAAAGAAAGAATATTTACCGTATAGTCCAAAATTTTTCGAGTAAGATTGACAAATAAGTAGCTCGAATCCACGCTGAACAAAGTGACGAACAGCCCACGCGTCTTTGTCTAAGTCGCCACTAGCAAATCCTTGGTATGCACAATCAAAGAATGGGAAGTGATTTTTAGCCTGGAAATGAAATAGACCAGAGTTAGTTATTAAATGCTCTCATAAAATTCAAAATTACTTGAAAAAAATCTCGAGAATTTCTATCCTTTTTTTTTTTTGAAATGCTATGGTGCAGGTCATCTAGGAAATTAATCCAAAATTAACCCATAAATATGATTAAGATATAAACATTTGTGTAATGTTTGTGGATTAATTTAGATTAGCTTTCTAGTTGAGGAGTGTATAACATTTAAAACATACAATATATTGTCGTTTATAGATGACTTGCACCATAGTTGTACGAAAACAAAGTTTAATGTTCAAGAAAGGCATGCAATAACCTACCCCAATAACATCAGCGATCTTGCACCATTGTTCTTGAGATGGATCAACACCAGTCGGATTATGTGCGCAGGCGTGTAATAAGACAATAGAACCATTGGGTGCATCCTAAAACAATTCAGCCGATTTAATCGTAATGCAATAATAATGTAAAACAAAAGATTAATTCCATACGTTTAACGCTTCTAAGAAACCATCTATATCTAGTCCGTTCGTCTTAGGGTTATAATAAGCGTATTCCCGAAATTCTAGACCAACAGAACGCACGATATCTTTATGATTGACTAAAAAAATAAATGTTTATTTTTTTTTTTTAGCTTATTACTGCAAAAGTAGCAACATCAACCAACATCAGCATAAAGGAAAAACATTGACTAACCCCAAGTAGGGTTCGATATCAAAACTGGAACATCTTTTCGATAAAAGCGTGACAAGAAGAGAAAACCAAGGTGGTTTGCACCTGTACCGGAAATAGATTGACAGGTTGATACCTAATTCACATAACAAAATACATTAGGGTTAAGTATAATGAATGCCTGCCTAAAACTCTTCGATACTCACGCGATTCTCTTTAATTGCTGGACTGTCGACACCGAGGATCAATTTTGCTGATGCGGTTCTGAAGGTCGGGAGACCAGTAATTTGAAGATATTCGTGATTCGTATTTGGATCATTTATTATAATTTGCTCGGCCTATAAACAAAATCCATAGCATTACTTTTTCGTTATTAAATTCCACAAGGAAATTTTATTTATTACCTTTCTGACAACAGGCAAAATCCAAGGGTTCCCGTCATTATCTCTATATGCGCCAACACCCAAATTAACTTTCTGAGGAAACTTATCCTGCACGTAAGTAGCAGTTAAATGGAAAATCTTGTCAGGTTCCGCGAGCGGAATATTCTGAAATAGTGATTCTGTCGTTGCTACAAAATTTTCCGCGTTAACAAATTCTATGAATTCTCGTTATTAATTAAAACATAGCATCTCTTATTATAATTAATAATAGCGAAACAATACATACAAGCCATACCGTTTATTTGGTTGAGAAGGTGGTTGAGAATCAAGTTGAGTCGGTTTGCAGACATAGAGTAATTTAATATGCAACTTCTTGTTTGATTCTTGTGTTCACATTTTTTTCCATCAAATGAATCCATCTAAACCATATTTGGTCAATGGATCGCGAAAAACCGTTTCAAGGAAATCTAATCTCTCCGTAATCTTGGTCATAATAGATCATATGCCAACACTACCTCACTTGCATACACACGAATGCGCGTATGATGTATGCTATTTTGATTTTGAAAAGCTGGCACGAGCTTCTTTGATATGAAAAGATTTGTACTTTTAACACACACGGTTTTTATCGGATCAAAGCACTTGATGTCAAATTTTGCGGGAAAAAATGTCAAATTGACAAGCATTCACCAAACGTGATGATTATTCTTGATAGTTATTTGGAGATTTTTGTGAGTTAATCGAAGTTTACTAAGAAAACGACGTATCGGAATTTATTTCAAAAAGGCTTTCAAATAATGAATGAATGCCAGGCCATTTTTACATCTATTTTTAGATCTATTTATCTATTGATTATCATTCCCGAATTCTTTTAAACCATTCATAAACGTACGTATTGTCAACCCTTCATAATCCGACGCAAGAACAAACTTCACGCCCAAAATCTGCTCAACCTCACTATTCCGAATCTCATCATCAAAAAAGATCATGTCCTCATACGAAATCCCGGATTTATCACGCAGCGCTGACATATGTGTCAATTTTGAGCCGGGATAAATTTCTGCAAAGTCGATTATTTCGCTCAACGATACAATTGTCTCTCCTTTTGGTTGCGCTGGGAATGACATCAATGAGAGTATTTCGCGTGCCCTGAATTATAAATAAATAAGACGTTAATAACATGAATAAAAAAAGCCGAAATTTTTTGCTCGCCTTGAGAAATTTACTCGGAATAAATGATATAAGTATAACCTGTTTTCATACACACCATTTTGGCTTATCGGTTCGAGAAGCAACTGCAATTTTGGAACCCGGGATATTCTTTTTGATAAAGTTCAGAATATGTGGAACATTAGGATACAATTTAATTTCGTAATTATTTCTAAGCAATAAAGAATTTCAGAGCAAAGTAAAATAAAATAAAACTGATCAAAAAACATAAATAGAAACAGTTACTTGTCTTCCACCATGTACAGTTCTGAAGGAACCGCCTTGAATGGCGGTTCAAGAGTATCGACCCTACAATAAAGTCACTATTTACTAACGCTAATAAATAAATCAATCCGTGAGAAAAAAACAAAGAGAACCTTACCATAAAGGCCAAAGTGTGTAATCAAGATCAAATACAAATAGTAAGGGTAATTTCCCGAAAGAAGTATCGACAAACAAGTCTGAATTCATTTTCTTATGTAATGGTCCAACAATGGATATTTTTTATTGATGATCATTGATATACTTGGTCTTTTTTTATTTAATGCTCTACATTAAAAAAAATGATTTTCGCGTTGAAGGAAGAGAATTTCGTGGTTATTGATAATGGCAGTTGGCGTATAAAAGCACGAAAAGGTGTTCCTAAAGAAATTTTTGAAATTCCCTCCCTTGTAAGTATTTTTTTGCCGCGCCCAAATAAACAGCACAAATTTTGTTTGTTTGTTTGTCAAAACTTTTCAAAATCAAAAAAGTGAACAAAAAGCTTTTTAGCTTTGCCAAAAGAATTCACGTTTCTTTTTTCAAGCTTAGGCTTATCGTTCCTTCATTTACCTCTCTCTCTCTCTCTCTCTCTCTCTGTGTGTGTGTGTGTGTGTGTGTGTGTGTGTGTGTGTGTGTGTGTGTGTGTGTATGTGTGGTTTACGTTAAAATAAACAAATGTCTTTATAGTTCCTTCCAACTGATAATTTAGAAAAAAGAGCTTCAAATGATAATAATAATACTTTATCATTGACATCATCTTCTTTAATTGCCGAAACAAAAATTCAACCAACAAATTCTGTGAGTGTTTTTACATCATCGCCACCAATAGAACGTGGCGAAATAAAAAAATGGGAAGAAGTGGAAGCACTTTGGTAATAATGTCTTATTGAATAATAATCAACTATGATGTAATAATTAATAAATTTCTGGTCTGTAAAAATAGGCGGCATATTCTTTTAAAGGAATTCGGTATCAAGCGATCACGAAATGAGTGCCCCGTTATGATCACTACACCAAGTTGGTGGACAAAAGAGCAACATGAACGTATTGCTCAGATATTTTTTGAACATTTTAATGTTCCTGGTCTTTATATTGCAGACCAAGCATTAATGACAATCTATGGTTGTGGAAGCGTAAGTGGATTGGTGGTCGATATTGGACATGGGAAAACAGGTTTAGATTCAAATCTATAAATTATCATCTTTTTTTTTTGAATAACGATGAATTATATTAAATATTCAGATATCACACCGATTTTCGAGTCAATTGTACAATATCATGCAATACAAACCTTGCCGATAGGTGGACAAGACATCGACAAATATCTTCACACTTTACTTCAATCTGACGAACAACTATTGAGTGAATATGATGATACGATAGATATTGAGTTTGCTCGAGCTATTAAAGAGATTATCGGTGGTTGTCATGACGAAGAAGAAGAGCAACATCACGACGACGACGAAGAGCGGCAAGAAGTTGAATATCTTGGGAAAAGAGTAATTTCAGAATATTTTTAGAATTTTTAATTTCGATGCAAATTTACTCTTATTCATATCATAAATATTAGTTCACAATTGGTTCCGAGAGATTTCGAGCCGCAGAACCATTTTTTAATCCGATTCTCGTTGGCAAAGACGAAGTGGCATCTCTGCCAGATGCCATCAATATTGCAATCGGTAGTTGTGACATAGACAAAAGAAGTTTTCTATGGGAGAATATTGCTCTAACAGGCGGATCTTCCTTATTAAAAGGTTTGACTTAAATTTTAGCTATTTTTTTTTTGCGTGTATCTTTACGTGTATAAATAAAAATAAATATATCAACAAAGGGCTCAGAGAACGCCTTCAAAAAGAACTCGAGGCTTATTTAATCATAAGTGAAAATGCCGGAGATTACCAATTTAAGGAAGCGAAATTCATTAAAATTCCAGACTATCTAACAAGCTTTAAAGAGCGACAAGACTTAGCAGCTTTTCTTGGGGCTTCAATGGTTGCCAAGGTTAATAATAGTCTTTTGGATTATTTATATCTAACATTAATATTATTAACAGCATTCTTCATTATTCATAGCTCGTGTTTGGAGACCCTAAAAATTTCATTAGTAAAGTCGATTATAATGAAATCGGACCCACTGCCGTACACACAAAAAGTTATTGAGGTTGAGAAATTCGTCCGTGCTATTATGTAAAACGTCATTTTTGGATTATTTATGTGAAATCGCGAGTTCCTTAATTTCTTGTACATAGCCATAAGGGTAATTTTCAGCTAGAAATAATAGTAATAATTTTGATAGATGATAATTTTGAAAAAATCATATTGATTTGATTTTAAATAAATAAAATTCATAACGAAAGTAAAAGAATTCTTACCGTTTTAATATTCACTCGATTTAATATATGGAATAAATTTACAACTATCTTAGGAAAAAAATTTTGTGCACAATTCATTTAGGTATTGGAGCTTTTTATAAATTGTGCATTTTTGCGCTATTCTGCTTAGATATACATCACAGATGTCAAAACTGATATTGGATGCGTCATACTTTAAATGAGTTTACCTTTACAAAATAGTTGCAAACTCGCATATTTTCCTTTAGGATAATCTGTAATGCTTATTGTCCTGTATTGATTTAGCAAGTCCATCTTTGCCTTCCATTTTAATGTAGCATAAAACTTAAAATGTTCACGTGATATCACCCAAGACAGCTAATAATAATGGAACGATCGAGATTGAGCCACATCCATCACGAAATAGTTATTTATATTTATTCGACGTAACCATTCTGATTTTTCTATTACTTGAAAAATGTGTCTTTTAATTAGTTGAAATAATATCATTATTCTATATCTAAAAAAATAATAATTTTCTACAAAATGCAAAGTAGGGTTTGATCTTTTATTTATGCGAAATATTGTAATTCCAAGCCAACCGAACGTATAGGCGAGGAATGCGACGTTAAATCAGCGACAACTCCCATACTAAACAACGATCTTCCATACCTGCCTTCCCATAACAAACAAACACCCTAAAGAAAAAAAAACCATATATCAAAAAATTTGCAGCCCAAAAATCATAATTTGAATTTTATCACAATAATTACCTTAGATGTCCCAATAGTAGCTTTTACTACACCCAGCACTTCTCTTTTAGGTTTAATAAACCCATTATTATCATTAGCATTATCATTACTATCATTATCACCAACCTCGTTATTATTATTATTTATATTATTTATATTATTATTATTATTATCATTATTATCATTATCATCATCATCATCATCATCATCATCATCATCATTATTATTATTATTATTATTATTATTATTATCATTATTATTATTATTATTATTATTATTATTATTATTATTATTATTATCATTATTATTATTATCATTATCATTATCATCATCATCATCATCATTATCATTATTATTATTATTCTTATTATTATCATTATCGTTATCATTATCATTATTATTATTAATATCATCATCATCATCATCATTCTTATCATTATTATCATCATCATCATTCTTATTACCAGATACTCCCTCATTTTTGTGCTTTACATCCACACAGTTACTATTGCTATTATTATTATTATTATTATTATTATTATTATTATTATTATTATTATTATTATTATTATTATTATTATCTATTATATTATTATTATCGATTATTTTCTCCCGTTGCCACCATTCACAGCCAATAGTCAAATCACTTTCGTAACTATATATATTGAAGTAGAATCTGGGACATAATGCTAAATCATCGGAAACTTGAGCTGCGAAAGCGGCTGTCATATGTCCCATTATAGGATTGAAAAGGTAGGTCACAGTAAGTGGTGATTGATTGAGGTGCTGTGGGAGTGTCCGATATCGTATTCCAGTCGAGACTAAGAGTTCGAAAAGCAAAATGTCAATAAAAGCCAATAAATGTGATCACTTTGCGATAGAAGCATTCAAATTCGATTAACCCGGAACATTCATCGGCCAGATAATAAAATACACACCTCCACCACTTCTCTCCCTTGCTCCGTAATATACTTCAGCACCCACTGACCACTGGCCTTTCAATCCATTTACCTCTTCTTCAACATTTTCGTTGTCGTAATCATTTGAATCAATTTTCGATCGATCCAGAAAGTGCGGCGTTGGTGTTTCTGGTTCCACAATACTTGTTGATTTCTTTTCGTCTTCTAACTCGTCTTTCTCGATGTCTCCAGTGAAATTGTATAGTCCTTTTATACCAAATAACGCACCTTCGGTCGAGAAAGAAACTTCTGTGCACCATTTTTCCGCATCATAATGAAGTTCAGCTGTTAGCTGCAATGTATGGATAATGTTAATAAAAATTATAACAAATAAAATATAAATAAATCGCATCAAATATATACATGAGAGGCCGCCCTATATTTCAAATCACTAATTCCTGTTACAACACATTGTAGATTAGGGGAAAATCGTTTTGAGTAGAGAGCTTCGAGACGCGTTGTTGGAATATACATCCTAGCAAACAAAAGATAATCTAACCATCAAATTTAGACAAGAGAGATGAAGATTATACTTTAAATAAATTAAATCAAGCAAATTCATCAAAAAAAAAAAAACCTTTAATTTTCACTCTATTCTCTTGATCATCATTTTCTAATAAATTTTGCTGCTCATTTTGCGGAGAATAATAGATATTAAACCGATCAACCACTTCTTCGAAAGGAACTCTTACACTCGGGTCAACTAATAGCGGACGAGACGTGAACAGGTATCCAATTGAGCCACTTAAAGTTGGTAGAGCATTCATGCAATATGAGGACTTGAATAGAGGTGTTGGCATTTTGGATAAAGTGAAGGTGAAGCCAAACGGTGTTTTGAAATCCAAAATGGCTATTTTGTGAAAAGATAGTTAGCGGAAGTATCCAGTAAACTACAAAAACTTCTTTGTTCTATAAAAACCTCTTGAAGCGGCGCATAAATTTGAATATTGATTATTTTCATTCCAGCCAGTAGTCTTGAAATATTGTCGGAGGCAAAATTCCATAAAATCATGCATATTTCCAAGTGACTATTGGAATGAAAAGTAACAAAGACACTTTGATAGAACGCGACATTATATGTGCTAGGCAAGTAGCTAGTGTTTCGAAAGAACATATATATACTTAAATTTCGGTATTTATGTCGGGTACAGAAGCACGTTTAAACCTAGAATCTTTCCGATTAAGAATCAACGCGTGTCAAGGTGCGCGTATATATAGTAAATTTCACTCACATACCAGAAAATCAATATTCACATTCTTGTTCATCAATTGTTAGGCGAAAGATTAGCATTGATCTTAGTATTGTTATCTTTAGATATCTGGTCTTTCGTTAACAAATTGAACATTAATGATATTATTACTATTGCTACTACTGGCGAACTCGACACTATGATGAAATCCAATATTATCAATATCATTATCCTCGATATTCTGCTGTTGCAGCACCATTTCAATGTTATTATCCACTCCTGACGAATGATTTTTGTCCTTACGTGGTAAATGAAGCTTTACCAATTCACAAATTTCCGGAAATTTTCCCATTAAGTCTCGATCTTCTGGTTCTTCAATCAGCTATTTCAAATGAATTAAATTAATCAAATTAATTAAGAACCAAATCATCGACTTTTTCACGATAAACCTTGTATATATACCACATGTAATTCAATAATAGAAGTAGGACGCATATTAATGATTTGTAGCTTTTCGATTTTGGTCAATGGGTATTCTTTTAATCCATCAAGGAGGGACTGTATTTGCGTGGCGCTTTGTGAGTCAACAGGCGATTGATCTGATTTTAAATACTCAATTACCTGGGAAATTTGATTCAAGTATATACGTGTTGCTTTTATTTAGTACTAATATTTAGTCTCTCTTACATACTGTCAAAAGACATTTTCCATGTAAAAAGAACACAGAGAGTAAATGAAGGAGTAATAAAAAAACGTCGATAACCAAACCTCAAATTGGATCGTTTGAAAATTTTCTGCATGCTTTGTATTTTTTGGATTCAGTCGGTCTTGTTCCCGTTGCTTTTCTCGCATTTCTTCGAGAAGTTGCAGCACCTCATGATTACTCAGTAAGGCACTGTGGGGTGAACATATCTTGAACCAGAATATATTTTTATTTCATTTCAATATTAATAATTTGCCTAATCATAGACTTTTGACATGTTTATTGATTCAATTTATTCTTTACCTCCATTTCAGGGACCGTAATTTCTCTGATTCTTCTGATTTGTCAACATGTACGCAAAGCGCACCTGATTTCAAAATTTATATATTAATTTTTGCATATAATTTTGGAATTAGTTTTGGCATTTTTCTACCGCTACGGCATGTATACCCTGGATTTCATCGTCTGGTTTGTTGGCAACAAAAATAATGTTCTCTACAATTCGAAATATGCTGCGTTGAAAAACTATCAATGTGAAGTGACCACTGGTTTATACATGTTAGAGCCTTGGAAGAAGGCTCTTCTTAATGAGTTCCTTTGTATTAACATTATTAACTTCCATAGAATCGTTTATTGAACACCATATTTTTCTCTATAAATCGAAAAATATATTCAGTTGGGACGAGTGCAATAAAAAGAGGTGATTTTTGAGCTGATTATAATTGTATTTTCTCTTCTTCCTATGGCACTTACCCAGTAGTTAATACTCTTTTGGAGAGTATAATAATTAACATGTGATCTGATATATAAAATATGCTGTCACGAGTCTCAGGCTCAGATAGGTATTCTTGTGACGTGGGTGTTCAACCAATATTTGTTGTGGTTTTTCATTATTTACTAATTTTGATTCAGTTATATTAGAATCAATATATGATATGACTTTTTCTATTTTATTAAGATAGAACATTTTATTAAGATAGAACAGGATATCACTATTACTAATAAATATTTTCCTTTTGTATTTACTTAGTATGTGGCTGATTCTATACTAATATTTTATAGCAACTTGATTGAATGTTCAGTAATGCATAATAAAGATAAATGTTATAATAATATTAATTATAAAATTAATTTATGTATAATTTTATTAAACAATAAACAAGAAGCAATTTATTAACTAGTTAGATTTTGTATTTATTGATTGATATCTTTTGGTTTATTCAAAAGATCTTTTATTTATATAAAATATTTTTATGATTAAGTTATTACAATATAAGATATATTATACATGTTAAATAAATATATTATAGTAAATAATATTGACATGTTTGAGAATATTACTATTTTTACAATCTATATTTAATCACATGATCAAAATTAAGAAATTAGAGATAATTCTGGATCATAATAGTATCACTTTAACGTGTATTATAAAAAGCAAAATGCATATCACATTGATGCATGTTTCGGCAGTTTTCAAGTGATGATACCAATATAACCTATATAATATTTGATATGTGAACTATAATATATTTAGATATGTGATCTAAAATACAAAATGTATCACTCTCAAGCATGATCTAAAAATTGAATTACATCACACATTTGAATATATTATAATATAATATAAATAGTTAATATTCTCCAGGAAAATATTAATTACTTATCCCATAGTATATTACCAATTATTCCAGATTGCTGTCAAACTTGCGATTATATTACTAAATATAGGTAAATACATAATGAAATCAAACTGGTTTCTCTATACAGTTATACTTTATAGAGTCACAGTCACATTTTCATTAATGTATAAAGTTCCTGGCACTGAGTTATTATAGTAAAACTCTTAGTCACAAATTTTTATAGTTACCAAAATCCTAAAATTCCACTATAGTTCCGACTCTGTGACTATAGGAAGGGATCACTGTATTTGTAATTTAGATATAAACTATAAATAATTCATTTAATGTCTAAAACTAAAGAAATTTGTCAATTACAGAGGATGTCTGGACACTTTTTAAATTAAATACATTTAAAAATTTTTATAATATATAATATTTCTTGAAGCCTTCGAGATTAAAAGAACCAAAAAAAATTAATTTTTTTAAAATCATATTTTTTTAATAGTGAAAATTTATTATCGATATGAACAATACTTAGTATTTTGATTTTTAATAGCTAATTTCTCAAAATTGTATATAATTTGTTTAAATAATTTTTTTAAAAGTTTATTAAGAATAAATACTGAAAGTATTATTAAAAAGGTTCGGTTTAATCAGAAAAATATAATTTTAAAAAAATAACCATTTCTCAAGAACTATTGCATCAATTTTTGTGTTCTTTGGTTCTTTTAAATTCCAAAGTTCTCAAAAATATTACATTTTATATAAATTTTCAAATACGTAAATTTCCAATTAATTTTAAAGAGTGTCCACAATATTTTGGATACCACTCTCTTCTTTTCTTCTTCCACGTCATTAGCAATGCGCCTAATTTTTTCTTAGTAATAAGATGACACGCTAACCACTGTTTTTAAGCGTGACAAATGAGATCCTGTTTCATAAAGTTTCATACAAACCAAATTTTTTATTAAAGCATAATATAATTATAATTTCGTTGTTCACAATAAAATAAAATTTATAAAATATGATAAATACTATATGTTCAATCACCCGCTTATGCAGTTCCTTCCATCGTTTTTGGCCAGCTTCATCTGACATAACGATTTTCAATTCCCACAAGAAATAAATGTTCGATAAACAGAATAAACTATCAATTAGCTAATCCCCTCCAATAAAATACCTGTTGTTCAGTGTCGAGTATTGATTTTTCTACTAACAATCAGAGTCCTGGTATAATCTTGGGCAAGGGTGGACGTATCTGTTCTAGTCTTTTCTCGCTTCCCCATCGAGCCAAAAGTCTCAACATAAGATATAATTTACATAAGTAATTTGTTCTATTCAAAATTAGAAACAGAAAAAAGCATTCGTGTCAAATGAGCACGTTCAATTTCAAAATCTAATTATGTACCGTCTCTCAAACCAAAGGATCAATTCAAACATTCCACGTTACATACAGTCGATATAACGATGTAATGATGATAATTAATCATCGTATCGGTATATCGAGTTTCTGGGGTGTTTGATATAATAGTCAAATCAAAATTAGTTATGCAATCATATAAAATTTTGAATGTGAGGATTTTTACACCCAGTCCAAAAGACCTGGACTGACTGAATTGGTCCTGACAAGATCTACAACGAATCTAAAATTTTAAATAATGTTTATAAACGGCTATAATTATTGTTACGAAAAAAAGCCCAATGCGTTATTCTCTATTGTGAAAAGAATGAATCACATACGACTAACCTTTAATTGTATCACGTACACAAAAGAGGTGTGTGGAAATACTCGTTGCGAGCATAAAAATTTATTTGCGCGCAAAAAATGCGCATTAGATTGATACAATTAATTGTATATAATGTGTAGTATGATAAATCGCTCGCTGGCAATAGATCATATGATTCTATATCCTTGAAACTAGAACAAAAACCTGATATAGCGGGTATTCGATATAACGAAGACTAATATAGCGGATTGAGATTCAGAATAGATTATAATAAACCCTTCGGATTTCTTAATATAACGGATCCATTATATCAAGTTTCACTGTGTAAATTGTGGAAACGACGTTTCTGTGAGAAAAAGTTAAGAGATAGTTAGAGTACTTCGCGGGAACCGTCTTTTGGCAACGTTCAAAATAAACTATAAATGTTATATACATTAAATTTTAAATCAAAATTTTCAATTAGTAAATTGAACAACTTTTTTCCTAATTTGGACTCTATGAAATCCAATTTTCATAAAGATCTCGAAGGTCCGAATCTCCGTTAGGAGCATTAATTCTGGATCTTAAGGTTAAGCCTCAATAAATTTTGTGCTAATTTTTATGAAAATTGGTATGGTGCATAAAAATCTAAAGTCATCAAACGTTTGTATTTTATAAAATGTATAAACTTCTTTACTAAAAGAAGTTTATACATTTTATAAAATACAAACGTTTGATGACTTTAGATTTTTATGCACCATATATAGGCAGATTCCGTAGAGTAGAACACTTTAATTAGTGGTTCGATTTTGGTTTTTATCTTAGAAAAAAGTTCTATATGTCGAAATTTACTAATTGAAAATTTTGATTTAATTGTTGTCGAATTACTTTTAAAACATACAAGGTTTAAAATGAATACTTTGTTTGGATTAATATTGACAAAAATTTTGTGAGTCACTGTATGTATTACATAATAGCAATCACTTGGTGTGCATCTAGAGAAACGACGGGACCCCGAAATTCATAGAAAATGGAAATGCGATTGTTGTAAATTGCTACAAGCGACAAAAAAGGAATTGAGATGTTTCACTTTGACGTTGGGATCGCAAATTTCACTCCACTTGGACTATTATAAATGAAGCTTTAACCTTTCGGTTCTTTTTGGAACTTACAAACGTCAAGTGTCTTTTGGAATCCGTATATCTAAATTGTTTACCACTATTGGAAAATAACAAAGGGATCTCGATCTTTCGTTCTTAATTCTTTTGTGAGCAACATTGCCTTATCTATAAGTTCTTTGACAATAACTTGTGACATGTCTGCTGATTTGTATTTAATTCTCTTTCCCATGAAAACCTTTAATTTCTTGCTGTCATTTTTAACGATGTTTTTGATCGATATGAACAGGATTCCGAAGACAAAGAGAAACTGTAATTATTGTATATTTCTACGAAATTACTAACCATGGGTGTATTCACAAACTCTTTGAGTAATGTAGGGTTTGAATTCGCATACTAAAATTTAAAATCGAGAATTTGTCCAGTGTAGACAATTGGGTGAAGCACTGTGAACATTAGTAAGATAGAAGGCAACTTCCACTTATGAACTTTACATATATAAGTACTTTGTTTGTGAATACACCCTGTACGATATCATCAGCATTGCTAATCATATGCTCTCTTAATCCTGTAGAGACGGGATTTTCTGCACTCAGGTGGTAAAACGTTTAGTCTTTGCCCACTTCACGATGCCGTATTGTTAACTGTTGATAGTATCAATGTTACTAACAATGTATTTTTTTATGCGTTCAGGATTTCCCGCAATGCTGTAGAACAGATGCGTACATTCCCAAGATAGTACTCTTATTTGTTAGCTATTAATATTGCTAACAATGCATTCTTTTTTCGACGCACTTAGGGTGCAACTTGTTGTAGTAATTGGTGATTCTGCTCTGGATAACGATTAATTTTTTCCCGCTGTTGAATAAATATTGCTAATAATGTACTCTACTTTGGACGTGTTCAGGATAAGCTATTTTGTTGCGGTGAAGACCGTTGCACCCTTGATCAAGTCATCCATCCATCCATCCTCAGCTCAAACCTTTGGCTACCAAATTGAGGGCATGTCTAAAGCCTGGTCCATTCGATAATTTTAGGGGATGGGAGCAGAAGTCTATATCAAATGGATATTGATAATAAATGTCAGAGCTCGAAGGATGCGTAAATTTTTGATCAGCTCGACAAAACAAATCTGAAGCGCAAACAAAAATATGAAAACAGATGCTTAAATATAAATAAAAAATGTCAGGGAGGCAATTTTATATATAATCTTGATCTCAACTCTAGTCTTGACCCTGATCCTAAGCTTAAAATCAATCTTTAATTATATAGTTGCATGTCACTTTATTTACGCAAATCTTGGAACGGGCCAAAAAATTTTCACTAGAAGTATTTTCCTATTTAACTTTAGATTATTATTCAAAATTATGATAGTAAAAGTAGAACTATATAAGAAAAGATAATGAAAATTTATGCTTTGGATTCTACCAAAAGGTCACTTCTCAAATATCATCCTCTCATGCTATATCTCGAATGCTATACTTTGAATGCTAACCCCGAATGATCCACATAATCCTCCATTACTATGCCTCAAATAAGAACGGTTAAGCGTAGTCCATCACGTGATATCTTAAAAATATTAAAAAGTAATTTCAACGTTAGGGTTGGGGTTGGAAAGAAGATCTGAGTTATATTTAAAATTGTCTTCCCGACATTTTTAATTAGTACTCTAAGAAAGATTTAAGCACCTGTTTTCAGTGTTTTTTCATTTTTTGTCTTTACTTCAAATTTGTTTTGCCGGGTTGATTAAAAATTTATGCATCAACATTGGTTTGTTTTTCGGACAGATTATCGGATGGACTACGCTTTAACCGATCCCTCAAATAATCCAGGATTTGCAATTTGTGGGTCGCATCTTATCACATAATGCTGGTGACAGATGAATGCATTCTCAACGTCGTGGCACTTTGTGTCTCAACCTCGCTCACCACTTGGATGCGTTCAGTAACCAATTAGCAAGCAACACCCTCAATCAAAGAAAAACAATTATCTTCAACCAAAGGAAAGCGATTCATTAAAAGCCAATACGGGGTCATCTTTTCATGTATTCAGATACCACCTATTAGCGAGAAGTTTCTAATCCCACCTATTGCTAAGCTTATAATTCTTGTTCTTTTATTAATAATGATTATATGGTTCATACTCAAATATAATATCCATATCAAGTATTCGAGTAGTAAATAGATCAATAATTCATTCAAAAATAATCGATGAATGCCTATTGATACTTATGAAGGGTTAGTAGCCATAGTCCCTTTTCTCGTGAGAAAAGAGAATCCAAGGTGACCCCACTGGTTTTCATACTACGTGTTCCAAGCTTCTAGCATGTAATGCAAATTGTCAGGACAAATATTTTTTCCTTACCATTCATATTATCTATTCTGATGATGGGAACGATTCCAGAGGTCCTGTAAAATGAACTTTGTTAATTTCAGGTTTGATACTAATTTGGATAGGTATCTTTTAATCTCGATGTGGAGATAGTATTTAAGCGAGGTCGAAAAGACAGAACTGCCGGTCGGCAGTAGGTATACACACTCGTATTAAAGTCCTCGCATTAAATGTTTTAAATCATTGACAGTGGCATCCACATTTCCGGACTAGAACTATGTCAAGTATACAAAAAAGTAATTTGGATCCTTCTAAATTGTTTACAGTGCTATGGGGTGTTCGATATCGGTAATAAGGGGTGGTTAATTAGTAAACTTAAAGAAAGCTACAGATAAGAACCGATATGTTTTAAATTTCTAAAACCTGCTCTACAATGTAATGTTGCGATTTTTTACATTTGTTATAATTGTTTTAGTATCTATTCTAAAAATTTTTAAACACTTAATTGTTAGTATACACTGTTGCTAATTGCAATAATCTTTCCAAAATTATGTTGAACAAGTCTTTGGGAATTTAAAACATCGGATCTTATCTGTAGCTTTTCTCTGTCAAAGTTTTAAAATTTAATATGAACCGACCAAAATTAATAATAAATTTTGATCGACACTGAAAATCGTAGTTTTTACTAATCGACATATTTCTCGTTCAGAGATGAAGTGTCCTCGTTAAACAACCCAATGAAACAATAGAATCTACCCTTGAACGAAATCTGATTTTTAATTTCATGCTACACATATAAAACTAGTAAGATGAGGGAGAATCCCGAGCCATATTGTCGTTATAGAAATCTGGATTTTGAAAGAATCTTTGTGTTTTTTCATAATGATTATCTTGAAATTCCTTTGCTATACTCTGATGAATACTGCTCTCTGCATTGAAATCTCTATTATTATTATCTGTCAGTTGTTTAGTCATCCATTGGAATAAATCATCATATTCAAATTTTTTGTGCGCGTCCAATGATAGCAAATCATTCTCATTTTGTTTCCCCAACACATTTTCCAATAACCAATTCATTTCTTCAGTTTGTTGTTTTCTCCATGCCAAATATGCAAACTCTTTCAATGTTTCAACGTCAATAAATTCGATATTTTTTGCCTGCTGATGCTCGTAATGTGCCACATATGAGGTTAGGATTTGACGGGCAAGTGTGAAATCGCCACACCTGATCGCTATTTGTGCATAAATGTTTATGATTTCTGTGTCCTTGGCATAAAGTGGAGAAGATGGGAATTTAATTAAGGGAAGTTTCAATTTGATAGGTTGATTTTCGCTTTCTGAGCCAAACAAGTAATTTTTATTACGTTCACGCCAATCCACAAACGATTCAAATGTTTGTCTTGCATTTCGTAGATCAAGATGCGTATCACTATAATAATACATCAGTGTTCTCCATAATGGAAAACAAAGTAGTTCATCATTCTGCAACAACTGTGAGATTAATCTTTTTCCTTGATGAACTAGTTCAGAATTATGCAAATAAGCATTGACGATCGGGACATACCATCGTGCTTGGATGCGTGGATTTTCTGCTTTATCAATGTACTTTTGCATTGTCTGAGTAATGTCACAGATACTAGAAGTGTCATTGACACGTATACAACATTGTAACATTGCGGTGTAAATTTCTAGTGTCGGTGTTACAGATGGCACTTCTCTCGCCATTTGAAATCGAACCTTATTAATCGCATACTGAGCTTCACTATGATTTAAGGCAGCAGCATAAAACACAGTCTCATAAAGTTTTTCATTTCTTTGAATTCCAGATTCTGCTAAATTATTCCAATGTTTCCACATGGCCTCAAAAAGACCTGCAGATCCTAACTGTTCCAAAACTGTTGTCAGTAAGCCCGTATCAATTGGTAATTTAGAGTCTTCGATCAATTTCTCAATTTCAAAGATTCTGGGTATTGACTTAGAAGGTTTCTTCATAACAGTTTTCGTTTCACTGCATATTCCGCAAGAATCAATTTTCTTTGTGGATTTACTCTCGTAAGGTGGTAGACAAGTTTCCAGCATCGAACGGAAAGTATCAAGTGCATCAACATCATACCCACACGATTTCATCATATCAAATATTTCCAATGCATATTCAGTACGTGATTTTTGAGCTTGTGAAGTATGATTAGGATAGTTAGTGAATTCAGGTGATTTAGCGAATCCTTCTAATATAATTTTAAATGTGTTGAACTCAGGCTGCAAGCCTTCATTTTCTAGCATATTTTTTAGCATTTCCATTGCTGTTTGCATAGGAAATGATTTACAATCCAAGAAATTGGCAAAAACTTGAAATTGTATAACCAAATCAGTATCTTTTTTTTCTAAATTGTCCCATGATTTGTAGAATGGACTATTGATCAATATCTCTTTGTTAGACGAAGGATCATCTGGATTTGTGTAAAATCGGCTCATTACTTGTTTCTCCTTGTCGGGGTGAGTGTGCAATGTTACTTCGTTTGCCAGTGATTGCAAATATGCTCTCATTAAAATTTTTATTTTGCTCAGTTCCGGCCATTTTGTCTTTAAAGCCCAGTCACTCACCCAACTTTGCATATTAAGAAGTAATTCTTTGGTGCGTTTTACGTCGCCTATATTGGCGCAGTGAGATGCCAAAGCGTAGATCGGTTCGTTTGAGGTTAATGGTTTTGGACCAAATTCAGAAATAGATTGTTTAATATATTCTAAGGCCAGCTTTGCTAGACTTTTACGTGCTAATGCCCAGATTATTTCTGTCCAGATTTCCGGGTTAATTGGAATTCGAGAAGACTGCAAAAATTCAACAAATCCCTTTCCTTCTTCTTGATATGCGCCCATACCCTAATTGTAATAAAACTAGTCATTATTTCAAAAATAGTTAAAGGCGTATATATAATATGTAGCTTACCCGAATTATCATTCTCCAAGTTTCATGATCAAAAGGTTTTGGTGTAGTTTCCAAGAATTTCTTTGCTAATTTGTTAACTTCATTGAAATTTGGTATCTTTCCCGTAGTTGAAAACGGCGAATTGACAGCCCAGAAGGAATATAATTTTTTAGGTGAAGTCATGGCACGTAAAATAAATTGCCATAATTCAGCATCACATTCAACATTTGAGACTGGTAATCCAAAAAATGCATCATCAGAATCAGGTGTTTTAATTGGAAAAGGAATACGACCTTTTATCAGTGCATTCGAAACGTAGAGTGAAAGCTTGTAATCTTTAGAATTATGCATCGTGTCCAAGAGAAGTCTGTACGTTTCTTTGATCGGTCCAACCTGAATTCGCTCATTTTCCCATGTTGTATGCATTTGCTTGATTATTATTAATGCTATATCAAGCTTTCCTTTTTCAATACAATTTTCCAAAAGCGAATGATAAAAATCACGAGATTGAATTGATTTCTCTCTCTTCATGTTTGCGAATTCTGACACCAGTCTTGATTTTTCCGATCGATCAATATGCATTTTCATAACGGATGAATAATAGGATTCTTTGCCCTGAGGATTTTTAGTACTAAAGAAAAATGCTGGATGAGGTGGCGGTTTATTGGCAGGCGTTTCTGCTTCAGGTGATAATTATGAGTAAGTATGTGTAGTACGTATAAGGAAAATAAAGTACGTATAAGGAAAATAAAGAAAAAAAAAGTTAAAATACAGTTACAGAAATATTGTAATAAGGTTGAAATAATGTAACCAATTTCCTTTTCATATACATGCGTGCTAATTACTTGTTGACTATAACTTTGCGCGGCAATAACGTACAAAAGGTGCTTGACAGAAAACCACGACTTGAGACATGAATTTCGGCATTATAAAATATTGGCTTTTTGTTGTTCGAAAATAAGCAGCTTCTTGAACGAATTCCCGACAGAAGGTAGCTCTTGTTTTGTATGAAAGAAGAAATTAAAAGATCACGAGGAGTACGTGTACGAAGGTGGAAAGACATGCTGGCGCGCGGTTTCTATATTTTATCGCATTAACGTTAACGCGGTTATGTATAGTACCGATCATTTGCATTCAATAGGCGATGATTATCATAGGGTTTGTTGAACTTCTTTTTATATCTCGCGTTCTCTAACAGATTGTACATGGAGGATAAAATTGAAACCGTTATTGATGAGTTGTAAGTATTTTTTATTTGAGTAGGAAAGAAAGTTGGATAGTTTTCTTTAAGGTAGATAGCCGCGTACTTTATTTATTAAAAAGACGAGTGAACAATAAGATAAGAGCAATAGGCAAGTTTAACTATTAGCCAATCTAAAAAATTTGGACTTTCAAATAGTGGTAGAAATCGATATATGATCCAATAATATTGATTTAAATTATTCCATTAATCTTTGATTCCGTTTTGTCCTCTTTGTCCTATTACTAATAATATTAATAAACTTTTTATGATACAAGAAATAAAGCAGAAGGGGTAAAAGGTGTATTAGTGGCTGATAAGCATGGGCTATGTTTAGGCGGTAAGTAAATAAATGTTTTTTACACACATACATATACATATTTATATTTTGTATTTAATGATAATGACATACATAGCTCGTGGTATAGCAAATCCATCATCAGCAGGATTTGTAGCTGCAGTTGCATCAAACGCCAGAGAATTATATCAACATGATGAACAGAATCGGCGACAAGGACTAATTGATAATAATAATATCGATGGTAATAGTGGAGGGCTGATAACTAGCAATAATAGTGAGGGTAGTGGTGGAAATGATTCAAGTGTTGGTAGTGGTGGAATAGCAGCGGTAGATGATAATCTCAAAGAACAATTGGGACAAAATAGTGGAATCGGTGGTGATGGTGATATAGCAGGTATTGGAGGGGAATCATTGTTGAATAATAATAATATAACAAAAGAACAAAAGATTTCACAAAATCAACAACAATTGACATCGTGGTCGTCTACTGTAAAGATAGAGACTGACGAAAATATGTAAGTTTCTATCTGATTTGATTTATTATATATATTAATTTTTCCAATGATAAACTAATACAACTATTACTCTATGTATACTGTGATTTATCTAGAACAATACTAATACGGAGTGACGGGAATTATACACTTGCAGTATTTAAATGATTTTTTCGTCTTTTTTTACTACTCTTTGGAGATATTGTTGTTATTTAAATATGAAGAGCAGAAGTTTGGCACAAGATTATATATATATATTTATTTATCGTTGATTATTTTCTTTTCAATTTTGTTATTATGTACATTTCATAAGTACAATACTGTTTCGTTGTAACAGTAAAAAATGAAGTGACTAACGGTTGGTTTTCCTATACCAAATGATAAATTTATACGGTGTGTTGCTAATACAAACTTTTGGCATTATGATATACATTGTTAGATCCTAGCCATGTTAAATATTTTTTTAATGAAGCTGCTTTAATGAAGCTTCTAAACTGAAACTTTCTATAAAGAAAACTATTTATTACTTAAATAATACAATATTAATTAAAGCTAAAAATTAAAGCTATAAAAACTATTTCAAAACTTTGATTTTTTTTTCATTTCTTATCATTACAATAAAAAAACAATATAATTAAAAAATAAAGATTTAAATATTCATAAATATCAAATTTTCAGCATTTGTTATATTTATTTAATTTACAGTGGGTTACTGATCACTTCGAAAATCTATTTATAAAACATAGTAAAAATTAAAATTTTAAAATTTTCATTTTAATTATAAAATATCTTTTATTTTATACAAAAATAAAGATAGTAATCTTTATTTTAACATTAAAAAATAATTTTTAAATGCAAAATGAAAGTGAAAACTTTTTTGATAATTAAATTTGCATTTATTTACAAAAAATTTTACACTTATTTTGCAATTAGAAATTATTTTCTAATTAAATTTAAAAAATTCAAGAAAATTATATATTAAAAATAGATTATTATTTTTATTTTTATGTAAAAATAATTTATAATAAAATTAAAATTTTAATATAAAGAAAAATTTATAAATTTTTGAAATAATTAATTATTTTTGATAACTCACTATATTATTATAAAAATATTAATTTAAAAAATATAAAATTATTAGATTTATTTGAAAAAAATTAATAAAATCAACAAATAATTTGTAAATTAATAATAATATTATTATATATAATATTATAATTATATTTTATTATATTATATTTTATAGTATTTAATTAATAAAAGTATATAAATAAATAAAAGTAAGTAATTATTAGCAAGTTTTAAATAAAATAATATTTTTGATTTATTTTAAATATTTTTTTAGAATATACACTGTAGTTTCTTTTTCTTGAGTTATTGATGTGTGATGACTAGTACAAATAATAGTAATATTATGTCTACTATTATTATTTACAAATGATAGTGTTTTGCTAGACCAATCTAAAATAGCTTCATGTTGATGAGCCCAATTATTTTTAAGGAGAATATTATATTCAGCATGTTCAAGGACTAAAGCATTAATGGTGAATTCTTGTTGTTGCATTATTATTGATAGATCTTTAATTTCTTCAAGTGGCATTTCTGACTTTCCACTAATTCCAATTAATCGAATATTTGATGATTTCATAATATTTTGATTAATTTCTTTTAGGAACTTCTTTGATATTATATTATTAACTAATCCACTATTAATAATTATATTGGTTAATTTGTTTCTAATAGTTCCAATATAATGAACAGCATTAACTGGTATATTATTATTATTATTATGATTATTTTCATTATTATTATTATTTTCATTTTCTTGTTAATTATTTAGTAATAGTTGTTCCAATTTTTGTTTAGCTGAAGGTTTTATAATTTTGGATGCACTCTCACCTTCTAAAAGTGCATTTTCTAGTTTAAATATTGATTATTGTTCTTGTTGGAAGATTGTTAATTATTTGATTGAATTAATTGTTGTAATTGTTGTAAGAGGTTATTATGTTGATTATTAGTATCTTCCATTCCTCCAAAGTTACTAGGTTGTCAATTATTGCAATTGTAATTGTTATTGTTACTATTATTATTTCTATTATAATTATTTCTTTCATTGTTATTATTATTATTGTTATTTCTATTATTATTGTAACTGTTTCTTTCATTATTATTATTGTGGTTGCTATAATAATCTTTAGCGAGATGTCCAATTTTTCCACAATTGTAACATGAAATATTGTTGCGATTGAAACTGGTTCTATTATTATTATTATTATTGCATTGGAAATTGTTGCGATTATTACTATTGTTATTATTGTTGCTCAAATTTTTAATTTGTTTAGTCAATTCTAACAAAGTTGTGTTAATATAAGTATTATTGGTTGTTGTTGATGTGTTTGGTTGCATTAGTAATCCATAATTGTACAGTATAGTTGAGATTGCCAATGTAAATGGATTGTTATAAGTGGTTTTGAATCCAGTTTCTGTTTTAATAGCAATAGAAATAGCTTTCTCAAATGTTTCAGATTGGTGCAAATTAATGAAAAAGGCATATTGTGGATTGAGACCTTTGGTAAATTCACGAATTTTATATTGAGTTGGATAGGTATTGTCTGGGTCAATTTTATGAAGTAATGAGCGGATATCAGCTGCATATTGGCTAACTGATTCATTTGTACTTTGAATACGGTTATTTAGTTGTTGTTGCCATAGTAACAGTTGAGTTTGTGTATGGAATTCTTTTAGAAAACATGGTTTGAAAGAGGTTTCTTGATTGTCAATATCATTGTAATATATGGGTCATGCATTATTTGCTTGTACTTGATTTTTGTACCAATGATTGGCAATACCATGTAGGTATGTTGGTATAATGCGAATTCTTCTTTCATCACTCATATTATTAGCTCTTGTAGCTTGTTCAAATTCTTCTATCCAAGTG